TATACTTTTACTCCTTACGTAGAGTTATTTAAGATATAAGTGTACATATGTAATCATTCCTATAATATAGTCTAATTGGTAACAACTAGTACGTCTCTGTGATGCAATGCATTGCGCTTTGGTGTCGTAGGTTATCGTCTCACAAAACACATGCGTTACGAGGAAGATTTTCCAAATACCGGAAAACATTTGAATCTGTTCTTTCCGTCTTCAAACATTCCTGGTCTTTCAATCGGCAATCACATCCTGTTATTATACGGAAGTTCACTTCCACTAAAACGATCGAATGAAGTTTCATGAAGGTAACTATGGAAACTTGGAAACCACCTTCATCTCAATCCAGATAGTTAACTGTCAGCCTTCAAAAGACGCAAGGATTCCCATTTCACACGCCTTTAGTTGATGTAGATGTTGGTTGAGTCCAGATACTGCCCAATGAAGTTGTAACAGTACTGGTACTGCTCCTAAAATATATGCAAGACATTCTCATCAGCACTGACTCGCATTTGTATAATAATTTACAAACTAACTTTGTCTGTTGTTTTGAAAAAAAGTAAGTCGCACCCTATGTATTGTTGAAAAACTCTTTTTTATTTATTTTATAACAAGACGAAAGCCACTCATATAAAAAACGATGCAATTGACAGTTAGTAATTGATAAAACGAAAAGATTTGATCATGGAAAATCATGAAAAAATCATGGAATTTGTATGATAATTAGTCATAATTAATTATAGATTTGATTAAAGAGGTTGTTAACGTAGAAGACATTTAGAGCATGAAACAGTCTAAGTTATTCGTAGCTTATTCACAAACTATACATGCAATTATATGCATGTTTACCAATTATGATTATATCGATTCAACTAAACAGACTTCGGGACCAAAAAGGGTCTAATGGTGTGCTACACTGATCCTCGACCCTCATGAACATTAAAATATCTGCCTGCATGTGTTACTACGGTTGAAAATATTTATTCTATAAAATGTCGTTGCACCTATGCTATTTCGTTTGATTAGATGCTAATCCATCAACCCAATCATCAGAATACTTACAATGTGTCTGAGAGCTGGTGGCCGTCGGACTTGTATTTGTCTAGACGTTTGAAATATGTCCACTTCATTATCCATCTTCATTTGATCTCGGGCGTTTGATATACAACAGAATAGTCCACTCTGTGTGCATCCGTCCCTAAGTAAGTAAAACGGCCATGTGTATACAATTTCGACTACTATAAACGACTAAACTAAAAGAGCTAAAACTGTACCCGCGGGCTAACTGATATGCATCCATGCTAACTCAATTAGTTGTGTTGTTTTGTCCTATCTTGATATTAGATATCAGTCATAATAAAGCTAGATTCTGCTTTATGTAAATTGATATCAGGTTGTTCTTACATGAAATAAAATACACTTTTCTCATTAGCCTCTTCTTAGAGAGCAACTCAAAATCATGTTATATTTAAATTATTCAATGGTTGACTCTAAAGTCCGCGAAGTTGGTCATAGCCTTGTAGTTGGAATATATTCTGGCAGAGATTACATGAAGCACTCGTTTAATGATAACTTATCTGTTGTAGCTGATACATGTAGTGATCAAATTGTAAGATATTCATAGACACAGATCCCATTTCATTTTATTTTACATATGTTTCGGAACAATTAGGATATACAAATTTCATTCATCATTGCCACTGATGAGATGAGGCCTAAATTTACGAAATGATCATATGATGCAGGAAAAATATCTACTTCTTAGACATTCTGCATGTACAAACATACTTTTTAATATGTGCTTGATTTCTTTGTATTTCTTATGATGATTTAAAAGAAATTAAGCGATATTTCTTGATATTCGTAGCAAAAACATATCCGTTTCCGAACGAAGGGAGTGTTAACGTGTACTAGGCATTTAAAGTGACTTTATACACACAGATACAACCAGTGCAGAAATAGACAGTTGGAGGAATATAGCCGGTAAAGGGAGCTAAACACTATAAAAAAATATCACAGCAGAAATACAATCGCCTCTACACAGCTATCATGTTGTATTTATAACTGACGTTTCAAGTTCATCGGTTGATATACTGTAGAATGACATACAAGTGGAAAGACTTTCAATTCACAAAAAAACACACTGCTTTTATAAATATTGATCGCCTCATTATTTGTATTTATCAGAGGGTAAACTTACTGACACATGACGACCACGGGTTTTGTATTGTCTGACTGTCGACGACTGTCCAGTTGCTCCAGCAGAAGGAGAAGGGACGAGTTGGAGGGGGGCAGCAAAGAATCCGATGACCACTCCTTCATAGTGAAGATCCGTATTGTCATGTCAGTTTTGGATCTCTGTAACTCGAAGAAATATAACAGTAGTGGTTGAACACCATAGCTTATATATTAATGTACCCCTTCTTCAAAAAATTAAACATTATGTTTTATATAAATGTATAGCTATAATTTATTGAAGTACTATACAAAAAGACAGTGTTGCTAACAACGCCGTGATCGGTGTCATTTTCACGTTTTTTATCCGTCACGTATAATGTGAGATCATATCTTGAAAAATACTGCAAGGTGAACATCACAATACATGTTCGCTACGCTCATCTTGTTATCTAAACATGTTTTCTCTTGACTTGAAATGTTAGATTGCATTATAAAATATGCCCATATATACAGTAATGGGATCGCACAACGTTACACGATGTGCGGTGTGCGCACGATGTGTGCACGATGTGTGCACGATGTATGAACGATGTGTGCACGAAGTGCGAACGATACAAAAATGAACGATCATTGTTTGCACACATTTGTGCTGACGATGGACGAACGTTGTGCGATAACAATCGTGGTTGGTGTAAATTGAGGAATGCCTCAACAATATATAGGGTTTCGTGCATGTGTTTAAACACATACACTTTATTATTTAGTATGTTTCTATATTCTAGCTGCATATATAGGTTTATCTTTCTGTCTATCCTTTCTTAAATTTAGAAATGGTGTTTTCGGTGATTTTTAAACAACCTAAATCGACACATGTAAAAGTACAACACAGTCTCGACAATACAGGTAAACAGAGCCACTTTGTACCTGTACCTGGACTGTAGTTATCCCCGCCAGGGGCACTTACGTAACTCGCCAAGGTGTAAAAACCAAGTGAAGGGGAGCTATATAGACCAAAACGAATGCAAATAACAAAACGTCCAATTATGTTTTCATAGCGGTCAAACGGTATCACATAGCAGCTCTATGTGTCAGGCACAGGCCAGTTAAAACACCGGTCACTCATCAAATTGTTATTTACCTGTTCTGTTCCATTGGAGCTAAACCCATACTTGACAGTCTAACGGTCACTATAACCACAGTGTAACACGCATTGTAAAATTGTACATAATCTTAATTATTGTGATGAGAAATTACAATAATAAATACAGTTCACATTATTGCAAACGAACCTTCCGTATGTTTTTCATTCTGTTATATTGATCAACAAATTGTACCGAATCGCACAGTTGTGCGGAGAGAAGCGCACAACGGGGCGAACGATTGTTAAATTGCACAGTTGTGCGCACCATGTGTGGACGATGTGCGGACGGTGTGTGAACGATGTATGCATGGTGTGCGAACGGCATTTTTGGTGCTTTGGGCGGTCACACAAATGTACCTTGCTTTTTATGTTATAGTCAGCAATATCAACGTCGGGAATGACCGCTAATGCATTTTGCTTCCTAAGATATATCCCATGGGCTTCATTTGCCTCGCTCTCTTCTCGAAGCCAGTGCTGTAGAAAGACAAAATTAATTAAAATAAATTACAAATAAATATTTACTACATGAATATGGAAACACATCCTGAAAGGTTTCACATTTTGTTTTGTTTTCACTACATCTGGGACATAACTATTAATGCGATATATATATGCATTTTCAAAAGAAAATATGAAACACTGAAAATCCCTATGTATGTCTACAATGAGAAATAATCGGTATCGTTGTATCATCAAGATTAAACGTTATATGAGTTTTTTGGAGTATAAGAGATTCGTTATACAGGTCTTGGGTTGGGTGGTAGGATTCATGTTTTGTGTTCAGATCTTAAGTACCTTTCGGTGCAGGGTATATACTGTAAGATCCTGATTGGAAACATGTGACCACCTATTCTGCCAAAGACATGCATAACTAAAACTGTTGAAATTTTCTTCTCACCTCTGTAGGGGTACCTAGGACAACGATGTTCTCACAGTTGTAGTCAATCACCATCGTCCACAAGTCATCAACTGTGCCCTCTAACGGAAACTGTGTCATAAGGTACCCTGATTTCGACCTGTGTGACTAAAAAGATATTGAACGAATAATTATTAAGCGCATTACCATAACAAAATGCGGAAAATGTCGGAAAATATAAATCTGCAATCAATGGCTTACCTGTAGCATAACAGCATTGATGTAGTCATTCCTGTCGCCCACCTGTGACCGCAGGTAAGCTCGATACATGTCAACTAAACAATAAAAAGTGAATGCAATGTGTAATGTTGTATTATAATAAAAGATATAAAATTAATTTATTACAAATAAAACAGTTTTCATACCTGTTTCTATTCAAATGCTTTGCTGACATTCATACAATTTTATTTTAAAGTGCACATATTTTTTGAAAACGCTCACATAACGTGTAGTACTATTGTAATATTAAACTATACATACCTGCTTTAATAGACATTGTTCTGTTTTTGCTCTTGTTTTCTTTCATCATTCCTGCTCTGTAGCAACTCGAATCATATTTGGGAATGAGAGTCTGAAGATTCTTGAAAAAAGATAGATTTTTTTTTATTGCAATCTCATTGATCCTTTATATAAAGACTGTTTTATTTTCCGAATCTTAAAAAGCACTCACTTCAAATTCTTTTCGTAGCTTTGTTTGGTTTGTTGGTTTTCCGGGCGGAAGCATTTTTCTCAAAGTTACAGGAAAGTCTGTATCGGAAATCAGAGTATCCTGTAGATCGTGTTTCTGGACAAGCAATTCGTGAAGAGCGATATACTGTTCCTGGAAAGTCAATAAACAGGTATGTCATATTAGTACAGGAATGGTAACAAATTGTATATCGTTTACTTTTATTTCTCTACTACACATTGGATAAACCGGCTAGGAAATGGTAAACAATTGTTGTTACCCACCAATGTGTAGCACTCTTGACATGATTTCGTTGGTCAATATGTTATTCATGACGTCAATCTGCGACAAGCATAATGTTTTTTTAAACATGTGTTTCGGTTAATTGCACAATTTGAAAAAAAAACTAACTCATGTTTTATAAGCAACATAACCAACCGTTTGGGAACGTACATTGTATATGTAAGAAATAACTATGTAAATCAATGCTTATTTTGGATTTTGTTTTTACTAAAGGAGTTGCTGCTATAGTTTCTTTTTATTTTACTATAAAACTACCTGTCAACCGTTATTCTCTTACATGAGTTTGAACCATATTCATTCGGTTCTCTCGCATTTTTCTTATGTAACTCGAAATATCCACTTGTCCAGATTTCTTTTCCTCCTTTGAAAGAGCATCTAGACCTATGAAGGTTCCCGTCCTCCCGAGTCCAGCGCTGAGATAAAGAAACAAAATACTGGTAGTCAGGGATATTTTGTTACAAAATATGATAAATATCTTCGCTTTTTGTTAAACACACTAATTGTCAGTCAGAATTTGGAGATGCAATCAGATACGAAACTAAATATTTGATGTGAAATCAATTTTCTGATAGGCTATGGTATTGCCTAACAACGGTAGCTTTCTAAACCTAAATAATGTGGCAATCCAGTTTGGCCCCATACTGTCCCACATGAAACGTAAACATTTTAGCAAAAAGATTTACTACTTATTTATGTATTTATAATCGGAAATCTAAAAAACCAGCGGCGGTCAATCTTGTTCGACTCATCTTGCCATTTTAATCTATCTTGCTTTTTTGTGTTCAATATTTTTCTAGTTTTTTAACAAGGTACAAACCATATGTGTTTATGTTTGAAAAAGGGTACTCATCTGACCACACTGAAAAATATTATCGGTGAAAATAAAAGACAATCGTAACGATATTTGACAAGACACAACTTTATACAATTTTGACTAAAGTATTAAAAGCAAATGGATATTGACAAAACTGATAGCACAATTTCAGCAGGAAGCGTGAGGAAAATCGTAAGAATTATTATACTAAGAATTTCAAATTTTACTGAACAAACCTTAATTGACTAAGAAGAACATATTTATCCATAAAATTGAGGATGAGACACCATCTATTATCTAATACTATATATTATCAAACCGACCTGATTTGTTCTAAAATACCCCAAACCCTCCCCAACCCCCCTGAAACATACAACTATGGAAAAAAAATATGGACTTAATCTTCTATTATTATTAATATTGTTTGTCTTGTTGTTAAGCTTTCACAAAGTAACACACTTACGGGTGAGTACGAAAGCTGTCTTTTGTTTTAAAATATATCATACCACTGCGTATACCGTCTATGGAAGCCATAAAGGTGACCGTTGTCAGTTGTAATAGCAATACCTGCAGTGTACAACCATCTGCCCAGTAAGATGTGTCCTATATGAGGTCACACGTCGGTGGAATAGGACGAGTTCAAGGGTGTCTGGAGTTCCGTGGTCCGGCCATGTTGTAAAGTGGAACTGGTGAACCTGACGCTCTTTTTTTGTCTACAAAAATAGAATATTATTCTTACCGTACATATCAAAGATTTACTACTTTTCTCATTGTAACATGTTTTAAATGTATTTGGGGGGTTTTCTAAGACAAAACTCCGAAATCTGCACATTAATGACAATTCTACATATATTTTAAACCAACACAAACAAAGAGGACTTGTTTGGTTTTACATTTAAATCATTGTATACGTAGTATAAAAGTTGTAATGCAAGGTAATTTTCGTAAAGGAGTTCAACGTATCACATTTAACATCGGTATATTTCTGTCGTTAACTCACCTACATTTGATTAAACTATTGATTACTAATATGGTTATATTGCCATTACCTTTCTGTGTGTCACTGAAATCTCACGTAGTATATAAAAAGCATACGTCCTCTCTCGATCGAGACTGATGTTTAAATGCTTCGTTGATAAAGGTTTACCTTCGTCAGGCCAGTATTGGTGACATTTGACCTAAAATGACGTGAAATCCAAAATATGCAAGCATAATATAAATTAATCAAAACAATCTATACAAATGTACCAATATAAAAGCAAATATTTATTAGCTTTCATATTGATCTCATAGATTATGGTTTGAAAACAACAATAAGTAAACCAGCTTTTTTTTTCAATCTGTGAACCATTAAACATGCAGTATTTCAATGACTAAGTATTTGTAACTGATAACACAGACTAATTAATATTTTATTTACATTGCCGCCCTCGGTAAGATTTGTAACCATGACGATTTTCCCAGTGTTCAGTTGCCAAACCATCCTCCAAAAATCGTCCACCGTTTTTTCCTTTGGTCCTAGAATATAAAATGTCAAGAGTGGCACTACGAAAATATTATGTTGCTTATTGTAACTCACGTTCTTTTTACAATTAAGTGGATACGAGTAGGTGTGATAGTCAATATTTATAGTGACGGGGTTGTTTTAAAAATGACGTATTTGATAGTACAAATTTCATTACTAAAGGACTCAAATAAATCATCCAATCAGCAAGTGTTTCATACGTTTGTAGTCCCTATCTAAAATTAGTTCCGGCTAATTACTGGGCCACTGAGGAAGTTTAATAAGGAACTGATGACAGATTTTTAGATAAATAAAATGTTCAGTTATTTAACTTTTGAAAAATGTATACTTTTGATATGTTTTCATGTCTGTGTGCGGATTTGCACAGGGCCAAAATGTCTGGGGGCATTTCTGTTTTGGGTCACCGGTTTTGCTTGTAAACTTCCGGTTGTCAACTTCTGGACGCTGTGACACTCCATTATGCCACTAAACCTATCAAAAAAGTCATTTGTTTAGCCTTTGCAAGGTATGTATTGATGAATCTAGACAGTTGTCACTGGTGTTGAACTTTAAATATTAAAGTTATTAGCTAAAATGTTTGGTAATAACACATAATAAATTATTAGTTGTGTGAGTCCTAAGGGGCAAAATTAAATACATAATATAGTCTACTTTTTGCTGGTTTATGAGAAGAACCTTCGTTAACATTACCTTGACATGCGACATAAGCTTGGCGGGTGTCGGTACTCTATCATTTGAAATAAAAAGAAAATAAACATATTTGTGATTGACTGTATATCATTTAGAATGTTCCAAGTAATATCGAAACACATTTAAGATGCATGACTTATTTCCAAATACCTATGAGATCAGTAATAAAAGATATACCAAAAGTATATTTAAATACCTTCAATACATCCTACGCAATAAATTCAAATTCATTATCAACAGTCAATATCAAGTCAATAACGGTACAGTATTCATTGTATTTCTATGACAATCCTACATTGTACATGTATCACATCACAGCCGCCGTTCAGCAACATCGCTATGTACTGCATGTCCGTTGAACAGGTTAATCATTTTTTTGTAGTGGTCATAAAAGAATCCATCAATTACATTTTAGCATTTGGTACGAAAGACATAAATTTTATTTGAAGAAACAAAAACTGTGGTAATGTATTCCTGGACAAAAAAGTGGTGTTTCTTTCTTAGACAAACATATACACAGGCTTACTTCCTAAATGTCTTATACATAAGGCCCTACATGATACTTTATACGATTTCGAAAATACGTTATTGACTTACGTCAATGTAATTGGCGTTAATGTAGGTCGAGTCAGGATCATTCCCAATTTTATCCAGTATGACACGGGAATGGTCATCTGAAATAAAAGACCGTTGCTTTTTAACCAATGTTATTAGCTGTGAGATGTTTCACTTAAAGAATATGATATCTGAGTGGTAGCTACCAGGCTTATCCAGCATACCAACAACTATGCTGTAGTTTACAAATCGTTTAGAAATGCTTGTTGCACTGCCGTAAAGAAAGTGGTGTATTTAAGCTTTGTAATTTAAATCGACGTCACCTCCTGACAATTCAACTGGTTCATCTCTATGCGTTCAAAAGGTTTATTATGCCGTTTCCTTATTAAATTAAGAGGAACAGGTTAGAAAATAAATTGCATTTGCCGAAAAGGCGACTGTTGAACGCAATACTGCTTTTTCATTTAGTATAAATCCTCTGTAAATGTTTCCCAAAAAGTTAAGGAAGATTTTGATGTGGTTAATATTGATAATTAGTGATAAAAACATAATCAATACTTTACTCAAAACTGACATACCATGGTATTGTTGAGTTACCACAGTTACAATGTACTGAGGACAACTATGACAGTGGGATGCTCGTGCACCCCTTGCTGTACCCCTGGTTTAAACATGTACTAAGTGCGCGAGTCAAATGTTTTAGAAGAGGACACACGACATTTTTGATATATCACCACCATCCTTATAACCATAGCATCATAAGTAGAGAGGTATAGCACCATATCTAAAACAATTTATTCTCGTTATCTCTATTCTTATAGCTGAGATGAATTTAGGCAAATACACTCATCACCAACCTTTATTTGGGCTACTGATGGAATCCATATCCATTCTATTCAAAAGCAAACATTAATTTCGGGGATATGTAGGAGTTTTTAAAAAAATCATTGTGAAAAACCTAAGTGACCGCTCATCATGACCGATCGGTTAATCTCCTGGTAATGTTAATATGTATATAATGTGAATACGATTTGACGAGGCAGAGTGCTGTGTTGTTTGAAAAAGGACAGAAGAAACAAGATGACATGTTTCCCCCATTATTTCACACGCATAACACTATATATAAATATATTTGTTGTGTAACAGAACAGATGGTTTTGTAACTAAGATTTTTTAAAGGAAAATGATAAATCAATAGAAAAGAAATATTTAGATCACAAAATATAATGGGCACCATGTTAAAGGTGAACTTTTATATTCCCTTTACATACTTAAAAGAAGAATAAAGCTTACTTTCAACAAGCTGTGTCTCGTTTTCTTGTAATGTCTGTTTTTAAAGAAAACTGCTGTTTCTTTACCATTTCCAATATAACTACTTACAAGGAAATGTTGTTTTGAATCTGTTCTTTGGTTTATTGGATGCTTTGGCACCTACTAGGTGAGGATGCACTGCTCCCCAGGGCAACTCCTGTATATAATATACATTACAATGTATCACTTTTTACATTAGTTATCTATAAAATCTCAAGGTTTAAATCATATATATACAATGCACGATACAAAACCCAACTGATAAACATAAGTCGTGCATGATCTATGATTATGTAAATTATATATATGATTTATTCTCTAAAGAATTGAAAATCAAAGTTAAAGTAAAACTCAAATATTTACTTCCTGATCCTTATATCGATTAAACACTGGGAGAAACAGGGATGTCACTATTAACATTTATACATTGTAAGTAGTACAGTTGTGGGATCGCACAACGTTACACTGAGTATAGACTGAGTATATTACCAGACGATTACATTACCTTTCTTTTACAAAATTAAAAGCGTTCTGACGAGTAATCTAACTCCATCGTTTCTGTGTGACGCAAGTTTATATGTTTATCAAATATCATTATCATTTTAAATATCATTAAAGAAACATTTTGGTATGTATAAAAAAAAAATGCAAATATGAGTTCAAACGTTAAATTTAATTAAACAATTATTTTTTTTATTTTCTACTTGCATTCTGCTTGTTTTAATGTTTTATCTACCATATAAAATAAATGTAAATTAGTTAAAACATATTTAATTTTCTTTAACATTAGAGTTGCACCATACCTTGAATTCCTTCTTAAATTCTTCTTCTTCATTTTCCAACTTTTGTGGTATCATTGCTCGGATGTCATCAATAGAGACACCACCCGAGGTGTACATATTGCTATATACTACCTCTTCGTCCTTCTTACCGACATCACAGACGTTGATGTATTCGATCGTTTTATCATTCGTAACAGCTATAAGAGTTGGAACAAGAATGAAACAAACTGATGACAAAGAAAAGAAAGTCTTTCCGTCACATCAGTATCTTAAAAAAAATATCGTTCAATTATACATAATGCTGAACACAATGACATGAGATAACAAATGAATACTGTTGTACACAGCTGTTAGTGTTATTTACTATTAAAAAAATATATGATATTAACACAATGTCATGAACTTTATGTATTGCCTGTTATGTGCAGTTGCCCTAGTGATGGTATGCTATCATGTGTCTTTACCTCGAGTAAATTAATTTTCAAGTGGTAAGAAGACACACAGTTTGCCGAGTGTTTGTTTGTTTGTTCATGTACACAATTTGAAAAGTAACTAATAAGAGCTACATAAATATAAAAGCGAGCCACCAGGCCTTATGTCTGTTGCCAAAAGAGGTTTTTACCATTATCCATATCCTTATATATGTGTGTTCGCCAAGAAAATAAATATGGAAAGAACAGGAATTGGCAAAAATGGGAATAATGAACAAAACAATTTAAAAAGCAATTACAAATTATCAAATACCTGTCATATTGATGAGTTAAAGCTGAGAGTGCAAGTTAAAAAGCTTTCAACTGAGATTAAAACAAAAACAAATCTGGTTTTGAGATCTTCTCCATCTATTTCGACTAACGTTTCTAGGGAAGTACGTGCCGACATTTTAGTTTGTCCTTGCTTAGTAACTAGTGTGGGTCTCTCAGGGTATAAAAAGCGCATTACCTGTCAAACCGGTTATCACATGCCAAGATTAGAAATGTTTGTTCTTTTTTACCATTAAGTATCATTATTATTATATTGAAAGTAAAAACACATACATGAAATTTGAGAAGGTTTTCTATGAATAAGCTGGTTAAATTATGCATGTTGTCAAGTATGCATGTTTTCAAGTACATGTACATATATGAAACTTGATAGGATTTATTATGAATAAGTTGGTAATATAATGCATGAAGGCCTACTTAAAACCATCCTTATTATGTAAATGAACGAATTACATAACGTACCATAGACTCTATCTAAGAAATTGTGATTGTCTTTTGCTTATTTTTGATCACTAGACTTATTGCACTCGTGACATGAAACAAACCTTGATATTTCAATTTGATCTACACATTAGGGGCAACACCTCTGTTTAACTTAAAGGTTGAAATATTTTTTCAAAACAATTATTTACTGTTTTGGTATGCCATATTTGCAAGTGCATGCATGTCAATTTTTCTGTCTGTGGACACTTATTCCATTTCTTAATATATAAAACCTACGCATTGCAGTCTTCGATGTCTTATGGCTTTTGCGCCCTGATGTGGCAAGAGGCAGGGATGACGTATTCTTTGGGTCATCATCGTACTCTGCATGTTGTTTTGTTTGCAAGGTTCTTCTGAAAAGTGGAATATTTGTCAAAAATGTTTCAGCAACACTGTTAGTTGTTGTCCTGACCAACGCACCATGTATTGAACCAGTATACTACAAATACAGTTTACAACAATTTATTCCACAGGTATAAATATCATTACACATTTATTTCGTAAACATATCGAAATAGGCTATGTAGTAAATATCAAACCTCACAAGATATTTGTTTTTGTGAAAAAAACACATGTCTCCTCTATTAAAAAATGCACTTATTTGACATTTGACTTTGATGTAAAAGTCACAGCGACCTATTGATGATACACTGCACATTATCTGTGGTTGATGCAGTTTTTAATAGTTTAGAAAGTAAGGCCCATGAATGTAATTATTAAAAGAATTTGAATAACCAGAAGAACCAGTACTAAAATAGCATGTCTCCTCCCATTCGAATGGGAGGCATATTTACTTAACCTTTGCAAAAGAAGGGACCTTGCTGATTCTTGGTGATATTTCAATATTTTGCTGATTTAACGTTTAATATGAATAGTTTTGCTATCAAACTTTTTTCAAAAATATTGAATGGAACAAAAAAAAATACATTTGTTTTTCTAAAACACCGCCAAACATGGGGGTCTGTGTGCTTCGTTTGTATCCCATTATTATTTATGTGTGTGTGTTGGGGGGGGCTCTCACTTTTTCTTTCGTGGTCAAAATCAAATACCAATAGTACATATTTTTCCATCTTGCTGCATATTATTACCCTCATATTGAACATTGTAAAGTTGAACAGCAAAATGGAAATTGCTACAATTAATGCGACACAATGACGATTAAAGTGTCAAAAAGGGTGTAATTTTGTCCTTTCATGCAGCGTAAAAAATACACTTTTCAAAATGTCCACTGATTGGTCTTTTTTTTAAATTAAAAAAATAGGTTTTACAAACGCAAAATACCTAGTTTTTGTAACTTGTTTCAGATGCGTGTTTGGTTTTAAAACTAATCATAATTTGTGTCAAATATTACAAAAATCCGTTACAAGAGATCAAAACGAGACTCGTCCTTAATCTGTCATTTTTACTCTGACGATGAGCCGTCTTTGAGTAACAAATTGACAACGTTAGTCGCGTGAAGCTGAACTTTAAATCGAAGACACCAAACACAATTGTTTATCAATCGTTTACCTGGATCTTTACCTGCAACCTTGCTATCATAGACGACTTACTTCTTATTAATAATAATAGTGACATCATTGTTTCTCCCAGTGTTTCCTTGTCGCAGTTGATGCAATTATCACGATTTTAGTGATCGATGTCGAATACTGACAAATGCACTTACAGACAGTTATCGAGAAATTTTCCAATGGTTCACGATAAATCAATTGGTAAGACGATTGTCGGAAATACCGTAGGGTGTGATACTTACCGTCTGAGGACTATGACGACCACTATTATTACGAAAGCAATGACGACAACCACTCCAACTACTGCCCCTGCATATGTTCCGACTTTGGTATTGGTTGTTTCTGTCAAAGCCTCCGTTTCTACCAAAAGTAAACAAGATATATCTGTAAAAACATCCTTATGTGTATACTCAAGGCAGGGAGGGGGGAAGGGGGGGGGGAGTTCACTACGTCTTTATCAATCTTCATTACTTCTCCTCTTTTTTGATAAATTGGAATGTTTCAGCCAATGCAAAACAAGAACAAATAAAAACAGCAAAAAACAACAAGACTATCTTACCGATACACACTCCGTCTTGCATGTTACAAATGTTGTTTTTACAATTGGTTGGACACGCCTGGCTGCAGTCGCTGCCATGGAGTCCTGGGTCGCATTCTGTGAAATAAAAGAAGATTAAACACTGTAGCATATTTCTTTCATAGTCCATTTTATTACGTAGGGTTTACACACTGTCACATCCGTTTCTACTAAAAGTAAACAAGATATAATATNGGGGGGGGCTCTTTGCGTCTTTATCGGCCATCAGCAGCATTACTTCTTCTCTCATTTGATAAATTGGAGTTGTTTCAGCTTATGCAAAACAATAAAAAAAAAATCTTACCAATACACACTCCGTCTTGCATGTTACAAATGTTGATTTTACAATTGGTTTGACACGCCTGACTGCAGACACTGCCATGGAATCCTTGGACGCATTCTGTGAAATAAAATAAGGTTATAGCATATTTCTTTCATAGTCCTTTATCTTACGCACGATTCACACACTGTCACATCGTCATTCAAATGCATCATGGGTAATGCCACAAATCATTTTGTATCACAAATAATAGTTAATGTATATTTGATGAAGACCAAGAACCAGAAATAAAACTTATAACTTAGGTGACACAATTTACAAAGCAACTAAAGCACTAGTCGAAAATAACAATGTTTTATGGAAAGTTAAAAGATAGTAAAAACGGACCTTATCTCAAATCGCATAGGTATGGATACATAACAGATGTTTCTTTATCGTATAAATTATGAATGCTAGTTGATTAATTTTAAATTGCCTATGACAGCCAACTCAGAGCAATTCAATGTTTCAGTGAAGCTAAGAAACTCACAGTACCTGCATCACTCATTAAACGTTTGAAACAAAATTTATTCTAGAGTGATTTAAATAATCAAGAAAAAGCAATTTTATCCTTTCAGACCATGCTTTTCATCTCTGTTTTCTAACTGACCAAAAAAAATACAGCAAAACTTCCTGATGGTAATTTACGGACAATCGTCTGAATCTCGATTAAAATCGCCCTGATTTACTTGATCAATACATTGTAGTCCTATGTCCAGAAATGGATATACTGCTACCTGTATCGTGCATTCATATTCAACCCGAACAATACCAACACATAACCATGTTTATTCAAAATAATGATTCATGAAATAATAAACATCTCACTTAATAAAGCCAACATGTATATGAACACCATGCCTACCCTGTGCTGTTTTAGAGTATCCGTAATACATTGTATATCCTTCTTCCATAATGGAGAATATCATTGTTTATTTTACTATTGTAAAGAGTGGTGGAAAAGTGTATTTAGTATTTGTTTACCTCAAACTCAGCATAAAATACGCAATAACAATGTACATGTACATAGATTTAGACTGAATCCGTATATTCCACTAACCTGTGCATTCACCGTTCAGTTGTTCACATATGTCATTTTTACAATTAGATGGACACGTCTGATTACAAGTATTTCCATAGCTACCAGATGTGCAACCTGCAGCATAAAACAACAAAATTGTATGAGACAAAGAATTAAAAAGAAAACGGACAATGAATAATATCAGCTGTATTAGTCTGTATCACATATGGCTACTAAAAAGAAACAACTTATGGGAGTTTAATATTCCAGACATATCATTTGAAAATATGTATACGGTTTACTATAAACGTCCGGTTTTTTATTTATTTTTTGGAGGAGGAGAGGAGGGGGTTATTCCATTTATCAATAATCCATTATTAAAGAACAATTTGAATAATGAAAAAAAATAATGATACTGCCTCATATTTCGTTAAAATCGTATGCTTTTTGGCCATTTTGGTATTAATTTCAAACAAGAGTACGTAGAAAACATGATACGCACGTCCCTAACTTTGTCGAAAAGAGTGCAGTTATTTATTTGATTTTGGTGAATAGATAATGATCAAGCTGTAACTTTTTTTAATAAATTCACAAGACCAGCAACCACTGAGGTTTAATAAATTTGTATTAGAGATGAATGTTCTGATGGTAATAATGTACCTCTTCCCACTCATAAAAAGAATCTGAAAGTAACTGCAGACTACATTTTGGAATAATTAAAGCGTAAGGGTATGGTACCTTCAACTTGTTTAGTTCATGTGCAAGAAAACTATTCTTTGATTGTACTGAATATCTATGTAGCAGCCCTCTGCACAATCTCTCACATATTATAGACCTTAATCTTCAGACGGAAGAAGTTGACGTGATCAAAATAGACTTGAGTGCTTCCTGAGCCGTTGTCTGTAAAATGTGTATCAACTGGTGAATAGAAGGACTGTCAGATCAGATAAATTCAGCAGCACAGTTCCTAATAAATGCATTCTAGAGAGGGAGAGGGGAGGGGGGTTAGGTTGTGTTGTTATAAAATCTAAAATTCTATAACAATTGCATAGCCTTTTAAACAAATGCAATATGAAACAAATATAGATTTAGATTTGGAAATAGTCCTGTAGATGAATTGTTTGAATGGATGATATTTTTGGTAATATGATGAATTTCAACAGCAAAATTAATGTATGAGAATGATCAATTATTACTAAAAATATTTAGTGGAGAAGTGTCAAAATCATTGCATTTAAAAAGCAAAGGTCAATGACTCTCTAACAAATGACCCGATAAAACAGGTATCGAACTAAGGTGAAATGTTATAGCATTTAGCTTTCTTACCAAGTTTGAAGTTAATCGGTTAATAGTTACTTAAGATGTTGAGCGGACACCGAAAAGCTTGAGGGTATACCATAATCGAGATGGACGTATAAAAAGAGAAGAATCATGTCAGTACCCATCTCGATGTTCTAACTTTAACTTTTTCACACATTATCATCGGGCAATTATAGATGGGCAATCAGGTTTGTGTAACGATAAATTGGTCAGATTATTTACTGCACAAACGAGGCATCTATATAGCACATAGTGTCTGCAGCTAAGTAACGTGCACTACATATCTCATCATAACAGTATTCAATCTTCTCTATTTTCACAATTTAGTAAACTTTATTTCTATGTTGATTTAGCTTCAACGCGTCTATAATAAGGTTCACTAGCACGTATGTTACACACAGGTATTTGGATCTGTACATCGCAATGAACAAAGGTTATTCCTGTTTAAGATAAGTTATCTGTGATCATTTTCATATAATGTTTTAATGAATTATAGATGCATAAAAATAGGTTACCTATGCGGAATATTACAGTATTTATGAGACGATTTTATTTCAATGTATAAACTTATGTAATGTAAAACTTTCCTAAAGTAAAGCACTTTCTTGTTATACGGACCACGGAATAAATTGTGGGTTTTTCCCTTTTGGGCAGAAGATTTGATAGGAACGTGAATGCCTCGGGGCCTGCTTGTTGGATATATAGGTGACAGAATTTTCAAAAGTGTTATGTGTGTTTTGAGCAATATTATAGATGTAAAATGTATATAAAAAAAATCAAGTATGTTTTTTCAATACAAAATGGCGGCCCCCATATCAAAGAGTTCAAATAGTTAGAACTTTAAAAACTTTTTTCTACAGGTGTGTTAGATGACATTCTACAAAATGAGGGCAGGTGAACCAGTGAGGATAACCCCATGTAACCAGGACAGTGGTAAACGTTAACACTATCGTCTACGGAAAATCATTTGGTTCTGCGGTCCCTATAAGTATAATTAAAGGTGTAAACTAAGGAAGTACATACAATGTACATGTATAATAATATTTATTAAATCAACACAAATAGCTAAACGAAAAAGACAGTACCTGCATCATATGGCCATTTAGTAAATTGAAGACTCATCATTAGTACAAAAAGATACAAAAGTAATCAAAACATCAGTAGATATACAGGAAAAAAATGGAAAAGTGTTAAACTTTTAAAACATAAATAAATTATGTGACTACAACAAATGAGTTATTTAAAAAACTACTATACTGGTGTTTCGTATAGACCAAGCCCGAATATGGGTTACTATTTTATGACTGACACACTGTACCTTTTGCTATTTCAAGGTAATCATTCTAGATGAAAGGAATGATTGACTTACCTATGCACTGACCGTTGTCTATGTTACAAACGTTGCTACAGTTAAAAAATGTACCAGGGACTGATTACATAAACTGCCATGAAATCGACTATTGCATTCGGAAAATGTTGGTTAGTAGGTAAATAGATTGATGTCAATAAACATTCCATGTAGATAAACGGTATTATTTTGACATATGTTCATATGTTCCGATATGCTCTAAATACTATTTCTTATTTTCTAATAGTCATTAACCTGATACGAAGGGAATTTGTTCAACACAAAATACACCCTTCAAATGTATCAATTCAATTTTTTAATGATATTATGTTCAATAGCTCAGTTTGTATGAAAACGAGAGCCTTTAAATCATCAACAGAATGCAAAAGATTTATCTGGGGATAGGAAAGATAGCGGTCTAATTTAGCAATGAGGGATTGGTTGATTCCTTCCCCGAAAATGCAAGGGTAACAAACAAAACTAATATTACTGCTATTCCATAGTGCATGTTTTCAACAAAATGCTTGGTGTTAATTTCTACTTATTAGCGTCCCCAAACCTCATCCAATGATCTACATGATAATTAGGTATTAGGCAAAAATGTTGGGTAAGACAAAAGTTTAATCAGCAGTATTATTTTTTCAGGTGCTAAGGAAGCACATCAACCCATACTTTTGCATGTTTTTTCTCAACTCGTCTCCACCACGAATAGCAATCGATAATGATCACACATACTTTCTCTTGATCTAAATCTTAAGTAACGGTGAATCATAATCTTTCGGGCGTACAGCAATATATATACTCACCTTAAACTCGTCTCCACCACGAATAGCAATCGATAATGATCACACATACTCTCTCTTGATCTAAATCTTACGTAACGGGGAATCATAATCTTTCGGGCGTACATCAATATATATACAAACCTAAAACTTGTATAACTTAACAATCAAAATGTTAAAATAGTTATTTTTATAGCTTTCCTATCATGTTTATTAAAACAAAAGTGTTTTACTTCGATTTTGTAAGGTGGAATTGAGATTATCAAACTTAAATGTTGACTTTCTAATTAATCACACGAGATTCATTCGTTCATTCTGAACTGATGAAAACAAAACAAATATGAAAAATATTCTAATTTCATGTTTCACCTGATTTTTAAAGGCGCAAAAATATCCTTATGGACGGAACAAATTTCAGCAACACATCCTGAACAATTTTATCTATCATGACATTAGGCTATAATAATTTATTCACATGGACGACGGACGTACACGTACGACTGGCAACACTCCATGGCGAAAGCTAATTTGACCCAACAGACAAGGGGAACTAACAAATGGTCGATTTCCGTAACACAAGATCTGCTCGTATTTCAGCAGTGAAAATACATCTTTCAATCGATAAGCACCATAATGTAGATGAAAAGAAGGTTCCAGAAATTCCAGTCAAACAACCCCTCTTGATAACAGAGTACTGATTTACATTTCACGTTTGCAGAATTACTTACTACTGACACTTTTAATACCGAAAATTCTTATTGGAACAAAAGTTATAGCATCAACAAATTAATTTTTACCAAACTTTGAAACTGTTAAAGAATCAAATGCAATTTTAAGGTCAGAATCCAGAGTTTTTTTAAAATTATCATTCACCATGAATACAACTTACGAAAACAATGTCCTGACGTTGTGTTGCATGTGTCAGCGCTACAGCCAATAGGACATCGTATACAGGTTGGTCCGTAGAATCCATCACTACAGTCTGAAAGCATTGTCATATATAAGGCCAAATAAAAATAAAGCTGTGTTTCCTGTTTCCCGACCGACCGTATTTTTTCATACCGACTCTTGCACAATTTATCGGTTTTTACAACATTTTCAATGTAGCAGGATTTTGCTAAGGGACAGAAAGTAAGATATTTAAGCTTAGGAGGTTGAGAAAGAGTTGAATTGAGAAGTCTGAGGAAAGAGGTTGAGTAAGTGAGACCAATTTGAGAGGTCTACAGATATTGAAGAGAGTTAGAAAGTTAGAGTCTAAGTGGAAATTAGGATGTTCATAATAGTAGTTTTAGCTGTAGTTTATCTGTGTAGTTCAACAGTTTATTGTTAGAGATTAGTTCAGAGTGGAGCGATTGAGTTTACAATGGTGAAGACTTGTAGATTTTATGACTGATTAAAAAACATGAGTTGTAAATATAGTGTAAATATGAATGTACTTATTTCGTTTTTCAGTTAATTTGAACTGGTGGCAGTGGAAATTTAGAAGAAAAAGTATCAGTAATACAAAAGAGGACGTAACACCGGTGACCATCAGTTGAGATTGGATTTCTAAAAACTAGTTTCCAGCAGTAGGAAATCATTTAGAAATATAACAATGATAGCAGCACTACTGTGAATTGCGTTAGTCAATACGTATTTAAATATTTAGGCTCTTCAAATTATTATTTACTTTAATATGTCGTTTGAACCTGTTTAACACAAAAACTAGGAATGCAGGGATTTGCTTATTTGTGCCTTTATTTTACATGAATACAACATATGTATTTGGTTCCTTTCATGCTTTTTTAAATCAGAAACATATAATTTCACCAGAAATAAAAAATGAAATAAAAAAAGTAAAATAACTTGTTTTTACTGCCGAGCCGAAACAGGAAACGCACATATATTTAAATTTGGTTTTAGGTGTTATTGATGAAGACTGAAATATTTATTAGGTCTGTACAACTCAATGTAAAATATTATAAATTATTACATTAGTTAACATCAATTTGTTTGATAATCTAGGTTTCGAATATGATGTCCAATGGAACGTGTTGAGAGAAAAACAACTCTTTCGGCATATTTTAACTATCGTTTAGTGAGATAACACGGGTTAGTGATTCTGCGTGCAACTGGTACTACTAATTTAGATAACATTCAATTATTACAATCGCATACATGTTAGTCAAATCGTACTCTAAACAGCATATACATGATGTCCTAGTGAACATCGAATGAAGCTGTATTTTAATTATATATAAGGTATTTTGAAGATAACTGATTAACAAAAAATAATGCCGTTTTTGAAAAGTATTAAATGTTGCCTTTTAAAGTGATCATAAAAAGTGGCACAAAAACATTTAAGTCAACATTAAGAACAGGGAAAATTACAAAGAAATGCAAACACCTCCAACGAATGTTGATTCGCATCCCCGTTTGAAACTTGTTTTCAGGAATTTAACAGATATCTTAATTGATGGACCCTATGCTTTATTTGACCTATAAGTCATAGGTGAAAACAAAAGATAACATTAACATTTCAAGTTTACTGCGTTTATTTAAATGATGCCTTTAAACCTATGTACTTGATATACCAATCAAGGAATAATAGACAATGAAGATATATCATGTATTAATCTAGCTCGTATGAGATGCAAAGAAAGTGATGTCAGATGCCACATGAATCGTTTTATTGTAACCCACTATTTGGACGTGAAAATGATCATTTTCATAGTAGCAATGTGCATACCAACCAGTTAACTGATGCATTCGTGTTAATTCAGCAAGTGACGAAGTGATTAACTCAATTATGCTACATTCGCTTATGTAAGCTTTTAATAATCATCTGTGAACTAGAACAGTGAGCCAACAGCTAACTTATACCCCGCTACTATACCAGAACTGTAAGCTAAATGCTTACTTCGGCAAAGCATTGCAATGCAATCCATAGTCTCCCACCAGTAATCATTTCTTTATTGACTGAGCTAAGAATATAGGTCACTGACAGACTTCCTGTACACCCTCACAATGCCAAAATATACTTGCAAACCAAATCTTGTTAGTCTAGATGAACGAGTTTTGCTGAAATCGTCCTAGTAGTTAAGGAAGAGATGTCAGGACAAAGGCTTGTAACAAAGGGCCATGACTCTTTAAAAAAGATCGAAATAAAAAAAAATAAAAAAATCCTAATGCACGACATCAGGGGGCAGTTATCAAATCTGTACACTTTCTTTGAAATTAGCCCAGTAGATTAGGAAAAGTGATCAGGACAAGGAATTTTTCAACAGTGGGTCCTAACTGCATTAAAAATGGTTGGAAAAAATACTTGGTTTCGGAAAACTTCCGTTGAAATTGGCCGCATAGTCTTGGAGGGGATGTCTGAACAACTATTTCTCAACAAAGGGCCATAACTCCGTAAAAAGGAACAGATTGAACAAAGATAATACCTGGATGCACAACTTCAAGTGATAGTTATCATGTGCTAAAACTTTCATCAAAATTGGGTCCGTAGTTCTGGAGAAGATTTGCGGGAAAGCACTTTTCAACAAAGGGCAATAACTCCATTAAAAGACCCAGAATAAAAATAATAATACCTGGATGCACAACTTCAAGTAGTAGTTATCGTATCTGGAAACTTTTGTTGAAATCGATCGATAACTTTAAAAGAAATTGTCTGGACAAAACATTTCAGGATGTTTTCAACAAAGGGCCATAACTTTGAAAAAAAGGGGGGGGGGGGGGGGGGGGGCAGAATGAAAAAATATTTCCTGGATGCATAACGTCAGGTGGTAGTTATCATATTTGGTTAGTTTCGTTGAAATTTGTCAATCACTTTAGGAGTTGTCCAAACAAATTGTATCTACGGACGGACGGACGGACGGACGAACGGACGGACACGCTGATTCCAGTATTTCCCTCTAACGTCGTTGCGGGGAGTCATACATGTCATACATCTCAATCTGTTTTCCATCGTCGATGACTTACAATTCCGATTAATCAATTATGTAATTATACAATATGTACAGGAACAAAATGTTGTTATTTCACTGATATTACTGATGTAGCCGTTACTATTTATGAAATGAACTATGAGCAATATTGATAGTCCGTGAGTTTACTCATACAACATTGCAAAAGGGTCAATGCTATTCATTTTAACAAATTGTTGGCGCGTCATGCCAGCATTAATCTGTCGATTTTTCAATATCCTTGGCCCATTGGCTATTCAAACTAGATTGAGATATTGTCTGAACACATTTGATCGCTGTAATGTAGATGGAAAGTATACAATGTACGAAGATGGCTACTGTTTCTATTTCAATGTGACTCTGGTGATTATCATATCATATAGCCGATAGCGTTCTTATTGGTAACAAGGTAATATAATTTGATGGAGGGGAAGTTGGTCTAACCTATGTAATGACCGTTGACGTTGTTATAAATGGTGTATCTGCAGTTACCAGGTGATTACTGGTTATAGAAACTGCCATAGGATTAGATGTCACTTTTTGATAAAGAAAATCAAATTAAATTCTAAAACACTCATGATACATCTTTCATAATGCAACAATGCCCTGTTTTTGCACGTTATTTGTATTATTAGTAATAAATGAAAGTCGAAATGGATAACAAATGAGAAACGATTGCTGTACAACTAGATGTTGTTTTATCAACAAAAAGTTACATGTAAGTGCAATATCCCTATATGATGTCACACTGTTTCCATACAGAAGATACATATTAATTTCCCTGAGATGTACACCGGTACTCCGACCATAACTACTTGAGTTGGAAACCTGGAACAGCGAACGTGTACGGGTCTATCCAGAAGGTGGCATATACTGAGCATCTGCTATAAAGGTTACGGAATATATATTTGTCGAAACGAATTGTAAAAAACGAAATCATTATAAACCGCATTACGTGAAAATTATTCCAACTATCATAATAGTCTGAAGAAAAAACGCAAAAATGACGGTTTACATATACATGGACGTATACGTAACAACCCTCCTCCCATGGGCCTACTGTCTGTGTGTTCCCCACACCAGCAGCTATGCCTTAGGAGTAATTTAAATAACAGGCATACAGCTGGCCATGTGGTAAAGACCTGTCCATTGCTGAAGGTATACACAACTTTAGTGGCCGTTATAAAGGTTGTTGGGGAAACATGACCACCCGCTGACAGATACATTTCTTTCAATATGATAACTATATAACTGAGAATATAGGCAGTGATAATGCATTGACCATTCACCTGTGATCACATTGGATTTTGATGTGCTGTACCTGATCAAGGTCACATTCTGTGATTTCAAGGCAATTAAGTCCATGTCAATTAATCCAGTTCTGTCTATCCATCACGTACAGCTGTATACAGGTAAATCAGTTCAAGGTAAAAACCTACAGGTAAGATACTTTGGCTGTCCCTCGATCAGGAAATGACAGCCCCAGGCACAATTTCATTTCTCAACAGTGCCTTAACCAAGGTAAACTAATATTTTACTTGGAATTCCTAATTTAATAAAAAAAAAAAAAATGTCCCTTATTAGGATATTTAACTTCTCATGTAGATAATTTGTTTTAAAACTAATCTATTTTTTTTTTTAAATAATCTATCATGAGTTCTGTTATCAGCGAGCAAGGTTGAATACTAACCCTAATACGTAACAAACTTTTCATATCAGAATATTGATAATAATGATATTTTTCAGTAATCATTAAAAAAATCATTATGAAGATAACTTTATTGTCATCATGTGACTGAGTTCCTGAGTGTGTTTCATTGTTATCTATAGCAGAGACGTATATATTACAATACGTCTCTGTCTATAGTAAATTTGTTAACGGAGTGCCCTCTCTAGATCTGTGTGTGATAATTATAAAAGTGTCAAAAATCAGTCAAGCGGTCCGGGCTGGTGTACCTATGAACTTACATGGTTCAATGAGAAGATAATTGACCTTTAACGGCTGACCAATTAGTACCATTTATAGCGCCTTTAGCAAGTTACACAGTGGACAGTATATATCAGAGGCTGGGATTTACCTGGCCTAGGGTATATTTGGGAATATTATATTAACGACAACGATATTTATTAATTAATTAAAGAAAGGTTTATTAAGTTTTTTAGAGAAGAATGTGCAGAAAAGAAATAGAATATCCTCAAAAGCAAATTTGTATATATATATATACGATCATTATGATCTACAAAACTACATGCGTAAACCCATACAAAAAGAATATCTGAAAGAAATAAAACAAAATATCTTCTCATAACTTAAAATAAAAATAAAATAAAAAAGGGCGACATCAAAACATTGAATCGTCGAGTGTGTAATGTTTGTAATTAAGATGATGTTGAAGATCATGTCATTCTGATTTGCGAGCAATTGTTTTGAAAACCTATTATATTAAAAAGCCAAGCATGTTTAAATTGAAAGGATTATTGAGTGTGAAAAATACAATAGAAATAACGAACTTAGGGAAATATATAAAATTTGCAAATTCGAGAAGAACCTAATTATTATAAATAGATATGATCGCACTTGTAATTGTGTTGTGAGTGTGTGCAATGTTGTGTAATGTTATTTTGTATTTTGCACAGTTAATATCATAAATTTTGTTACTTTGTAACTAGTGAGTCGAACGACTCAAAGTAATAAAGAACTCGAACTTGAACTTGAACCAGGCGATGAGGCTACGAACATGTATGACAAAAAATGAAATATTGTAGCACTTACATGTATTGGGCACAGACAAACAAAATGTTATGTAGTTTTGCCACTCATCTATTGTGGCGTTGTCTATAAAAAGTCTGACAACGGTCAGAGACGTATACTTTAAAGCAAACATGTTCACTTGATTTTGTGTGCGGTACCATTCCCCATCACCAGTTTCGCGAAAAAAATACTTAATTATGGAGACTCCTTAACTTGAAATTTAAGGAAAATGTCATCATCTTCCCTCAACGCCATAACGTTTTAATGTGGAATTAGAGACAAGAGATTGTGAGCATCCTCATATAGATATACATGTATACATCATACATCAGACCCCTATACCCTCTGCAGTACACACCCCTCAGGGTGTGCCAGACAGTCATAGTTTCTCCAGTACCAGGATTCAGACCTACATTTTTATGATCGATAAAGAAAACCTATATTCTTATTAATACTAGAGATGCATATCATGAATGCAAAAAGTACATATATTTAGTACATATTGTTTTTCTTATTCATTATAGTTTCCTACATGCACGAGCTTGCCTTTCAAACTGAAAAAAAATATATAATAACTCCCGTATCTGTGAATGAAATTTAATTAATAGACATGGTAAAACATGTACTGTATGCATTTCAAATCTCCGATGCATGTATTTGCATGTACTAATAATTAAGCACGTTATCGGTCTCCAAATCCTACGAAAAATCTAAAAGTGTATAGAAGTATTAAAGACGATATAAAACATAGAAATAGAGGTACTGGATCCTTAAATTAATCAATCTTTTATTCGGTAAGCAGGTGGAAAAACTTCTGGCCATAACTTATTATTATCTGTGTGTCGCGTTGATCTGTTAGCGTACGTTAGGTCCTTGTGATGGATATATTACATGTACCAATATTTGAGCGACCTTTATCTTTATAAATCACGAGACATTTCTGTTTGTTTCACACTCATCCATTATGTAAACGAAATGGCAAAATTTAAAACATTCTTATGTGCCTCCTCGTAGCCTACAGTTTACTGACGTTTCTTCCTATGCATTGCGGGTCTGTTTGTTTCGTTTTAGATATTGTATATGCTTCCGCTTTTTATGTAAACCCGTTCTTGTCACCACAAACGAATCACCGTTTGTAAGCGTCATCCGTAGCACTTCCGTACCGTTTGCGTAACACTTCCGTACCGTTTGCGTAGCACTTGCGTACCATTTCCGTACCTTTTGCGTAGCACTTCCGTACCGTTTGCGTCCAAGGTGGAACAGCGAACGTGTACGGGTCTGACAAGAAGACTAGTTTGTTACTTTGATGTACATGAAAAAAATATAGGGGTCGCATAGCGGTAAAATTGACTGCATTTGGTGTCGCTATTCCGTAATCTTCAAAGGACAGGTATCAGCCTTACGAAAGGTCAGGGTTTTTTTCCAGATACCAACTAATTATCCAGCCACGTGTCTTCAATTTTGCTCAATTTTGAAAGTGAACGTAACCACTGGATTATCGAGGATGATTAAAAGTAAGTTAAAAAAATCCCGGTAATACATTCCAGCAAGATAAAATAGTTATCGGGTGGCGCAGAGAAAAGCGTCCTAGCCTTTCATTATTATGGTTTAGGTTCGATTCCCTGATCGGACGAGAACAAATATTGGGTCACCTGCCCGACCACGTGCGTTATCTCGGAATATCCCGGATTCCTTCCACAAAAACACCTTTTGCGCTTTCTTTCAGGCCAGCAACAGTGATATCAAAGGTTGCGTCATTGGTGTAAAAAGGTTTAATGGTAAGAGAGTACTGATTTCGGTTCATAATTTGCAGAACTACATGGTGTTGACCTTTTAATAACGTTAACTGGAATGCATATCAGTTTGCATTATCTTATATTTAGACATCTGCATGTACGCCCTTGTATTAACGCCATGCATTTTTACTTTTTTTCTTCTTATATATATCATTCACCATGGATACTACTTACGAAAACAATGTCCTGACGTTTTATTGCATGTGTCATTGCTACAGCCAACAGGACATGGTGTACAGAATGGTCCGTAGTATCCACCAGTACATTCTGAAAATATTGTCATATATGATATCATATAGTACAGATCTATTTCTTCATTAAATATATACATCTCAAAATGAAATATTTGTAATGACGCATGCAGCAAATATTCCGTTGATCGATAATCTATAAAATCAAATAATCAACTAGAAGGTGCTCTGAAAAGATTAAATATAGACCAGTCGACCTCAACACTTCTTTATAATATTCAGTTGATACTTTTATTAAATAGCACGGTCTTGTGATGTAATATACAACTGATGCTACAACTAGTATAACATATTTTGATCAAATTCGACAACTGAAATCGTATACATGAGTTATAATGTATGATAAACAGGATTCGATCAAAGGCAACATTTGAGGTACAACACGCTTTTGATAGGTCTTTAAAGATAACTTATCCAAAGGATAGTATATATTTTTAAAGTTATTGATTCTTTTATGTTGTCACTTGATACTCAAACGTGATCAGAAGGGTAAAAGAAAAATGTATAGGCAAATCCTTGGGCAAAAAACACATGTAAAAACAGAAAGCAGACATAGAAATTGATAATTTTCACAAATATTGATTTTGTCTTTCCGTTTGAGTTTTTGTTACAGTATTCTTTTAGTATTGAAAAAGTTTGTGACACCTGGCATTTTCACTTTTTGGCAAAAAACTGTTCGGATACAAGGCGGCTAGGTTTATCTGTATACGTGTATGTGACCGTGTCCAATAGGTCTTATCAAACTATGGTAACAAACTCTAAAATGATGATTATATAGGTTTTATTGATTAAACTAAACTATGCTAACACACTTTAAAGTCATGATTTAATCATGATTGCAGGTTAAATAGCAATTATTTTTCAAATTAACTACAACCACAACTGCTATTCTACATCGTTTGTCCACTGTACACCCATGTGTGGGTTAGCCATGGACGCCTACGTTTGTTATCGTTCCCAGATGATGCGCCCACTACCCAAACCTCGTTTTCAAACCGTGCGCACATGGTGCACATACGGCACATCGGGTAATTGTGTGCGATGCTTCCACTGTTACAACAAGTAAGTCTGAATATTGCAACTATATAACTAAAATATCTAAAAGCTTTTGTTCCTGCAAAATGATTTCTCAAACTTTTTATGCAATCTGTTCGAACATAATTAATGATAAAGATTGGAAATTATATCCAAATCATTTGTCGTCCAAAGACATAACGAGGTTACCTGTACACTGGTAATTAGGACAGCTTGTGTCATTACAGTTTACTGGACATCTGCACCATGTGCCTGAAAATCCCGTTGTGCAGCCGTCTGAAAGGTACAAGTAAAATGCATGTATCCTTTATCGATGTTGTATGTTCAAATATAATAGGTGCGCAATCAAAATTAAATCGAACTTGTTCATATTGAAATGATGTATTTGCCTATACTAACTGAAACTCAAGTACAATTAAAACTATTGTTTGCTCCCGAGGAAGCAAAATACGCTTCTCACATAAAATCAACGACCTTAAATATGTGTTTGACCAATTTCTACTGTTTGTTTTAACAAATACATTATAATGGTCATTGACTCTACTATTGAAATACAGTAAAATACATAAGTCTGTGTTCTTTTAATTTGATAATTGACTTTTGAAAATATTTGACAATGTATAACGATCAAGATACAATATATTTTTGTTCAATGAACAGCCACGGCATTCAGTCTGAAAAATACTTTATGTCCGAATTAACTAAGCTAATTTTGATGAAACTAATATAAATGTCATTTTAGTTTACACTGAATATGAATTTATTCCGACCTTGGTTATATAACACTCAGTAATATGTTATCACCTTACATGACATTTGTCGACCAATTTAAGTGCAATTACCGAGTGGAATTGTGATGTTATTCATATGTTGTATTTTTGTTCGTCACCATTGTTTCAGTGTTCATATAGAAAGGGGTGTTATCCCCAGCCACAATGACATACAGATGTTTCACTGCAATGTTTCCCAGATGAACGTGAACGTGATCTACAGTGGAACAGTTTAAACCAAAGCTGGAGTATTCACATAGATATCGTATGTATAAAAATGTGACTTTAAAGATATTGTTGTTATGCTGAAATTGTATTTACCCAAAACAACTTAAGCATTTTTAAGATATGGAAAAAAATCATTGTATTTCCACTGAAAGGTTCACTTGCAAATTGAGAGGGAATGAAAATGGAGTTGCATTAACTATAATCATATTGTCAATACAGACTTTTACATGTCATCCATTCTACAATTTCTGAAATCCAACTGTGAAATATATTTATCCGGAAACCAATTGTTTTTGTTTGGATGAATTGAAATAGAAAATGAATATATTAGTTTCAATCATCAAATATTTTATTGCAAATTTATAATGCATATTATCTACAAATAAACGATTCGTGTTTTGATATGTTCAGTATTATCATGTTTGTATGTGCAAGTAACCGAAAAGAATTAAAATATTTTCCGAAAGAAAACACTTTCATAAATATTATGAGTATATTGGTATAAAAAGATTTTAAATTGCAATGACTGAAATCATTGTTAATTATAACCTTGCGAAGCATTTTACCGACTGCTAATTATCACATCAGGCGCAGGTTGAAGCCATGTTTACGCTATTATCATGCATAAGGGAATCCACGAATTGTCATGAAAGCAGAATCCAACGAATAACGAATAATTGTTCGACTGGGTCAGAGGTAATGTTAATAATAATATACAACATTTAAAATAATATACAACATTTATATAGCGCCCTATATAATTTGTAAGATTACTCTAAAGCGCTTTACAACATATGAATTATAGTATTCGTTATAATTGTGAAACAAAAACAAAGGCTTACAATCACTTTTATACATTAGGCAAGCAGATAATCATCGCAATATGCACATTAATGAATAAATAAAGGGTAATATTTACATGACGTCTTTGCAAAAAGCCTAAAATGCAGACGTGAAGAGGTGAGATTTGATGTCCCTCTTGAATGTGGCCAGGGTATTTGACTTTTTAATAGAAGATGGTAAGCTATTACACAACGTGACCCCGAAATCCTCCCAAAGCACCAGTTCATATTGGTCACAGTACGAGATTTTGGGACACACAAAAATGATTCTGACCGCAGTGATCGTGACGGCTGATACAGGCTAACAGGCTCCTGTGGGTACTGTGGAGCTGTTCCATTCAGTGCCTTGTATGTATACACCAAAAGTTTGTACTGCGATCTGTATCGTACAGGTCACCAGTGCAATGAATATAGCACAGGTGCTTCTGAAATCTCTGCAGACGGCTAGTTAGTTTGTCAGATATACCCCAGAGCAGGGCGTTACTATAATCTAACCGAAATATAACAAGTGAATGCACCAACATCTTGCATGTATCTGCAGTTATAAACTGCCGGATACAGCCAATATTCCCGATCTGGTAGTAACAGGATTTGGCAATAGCGTGCAGTTGTTCTCCATGCTCAGTGAACTTTCAAAGCATACCCCTATGTTTTTAACAGCTGGGACAGTCTCAATAGTTCTAGCACCGACCTTGAGCTGGAGAGCCATTGTTTGCTGACACTTTGAGGAAAAGACGATTTATTCCGTCTTTGCCTGATCAAGGTACTAATATATGTCAGGCAAGCTTCCAGATTTTGTGAAATTGTATACCAACTGACCTGTGGTTTGATGTCCATGTACATTTGTGTCATCAGCATAGCAATGATAGCGAAGGCTATGGCAACGACAAATCTCTCCGATCGGTTTGGAGTACATGCAATATTTTCGTAGTCATAACACCGACCCTTGAGGAACCCCGACATCTAGTACTTTGTCATGTGAGGTGGTAGATCCGATGGGAACACACTGTCGTCGTTCACTTAGATAAGACTTTATCCAAAATAGTGCGGTATCAGTCACTCTATAAGACTACTCCAGACGTTTATAAAGTATGCCATGGTCGATGACGTCAAATGCAGCTGACATGTCCAGCATGACAAGCACCGCTCTGCACTTGTTATCCAATGCAGAAGCTATGTCATTATGCTCACGTATGAGGGCCGTCTTAGTAGAGTCTTCCATGCGGTAGGCCGATTGCAGGTTGTCATGAAGACTGTTTGCACAGAGATGAACCTCTAATCCCCGGGGCACAACCTTCTCCAAGATCTTAGACAGAAAAGGCAGATTTGATACTGAGCGGTAGTTCTTCAACTCCTCCTTGTCCATTCCAGGATTCTCCAACATTGGTCTAACATGTGCCTTCTTGAACACAATAGAACCTTTGACTCAGCCAATGATTGTTCATAAGTGAGGTAGTCAAAGGAAGCATTGCTTCAAGACATTGCTTTAATAGGTCTGTAGGCAGTGGATCAAACTCACAGGAATTCAGTTGTGAGGTCATGATGATATTGCAACTCGTCCTGGGTTGTTGGTGAGAGCTTTATCAATGGTTCCCCATCAAATTAAATGTCATCAGTCATGACAGAGATATCATATCAGCAGTAGAGTTCACTTCGGCAATATTTTTCCTGATCGAGCTGATTTTTTTCCAGAAAGTAATCACTTAACTTGTTTGTCAAGTCTTTTTTAGATTTACAGCTTGGTAGGATAATTTCACCCTTCTGAGCCATTATGTTTTTGGTGAGTCTAAAAAGTTGTCTATGATCCTTACCACATTCTTCGATTCTTTCCGAATACTACGCCTTCTTTGACTGAATGAGAAGTGAACCAACTAACCGACATTGTTTCCTATAAATCTGTTGGTGAACGTTCAATTTGGCCCTTCGTTAATGTCTCTGCTTTTCTACGGTTGTGTTTTTCTACGCAGAGATTTTCATTATACCACGGGGGATTCGGTCTCACAGTTATCACCTTAGTCTGTAGAGGTGCGTGCGTCTCTATAAGGGCATTTATAACACAATACATGTGCTTTCAACGTAATTGATAGGATCTATTACGTCACTTAGTATGCCAAACGACTTTATAATTCACTTATAAAGTAGTATATTACCAAAAGATTACCGTTATAGCAAAAGCAGAGTACTAAAATTTGATAAGAAATATTTTCATTATAAAAGGGGCCATTGGGATATGCGTAACATTATGTAAATCATCAAATTCTACAAGGCAAGTTGAAAAAATAAATTTTTCACTCCTTTTTTTGTTTATATCTTGAGTTTGATTATTAACGGAAAGGTAATAACTTTTGCTTTGGAAGAAAAATCAACAATGCTAATTTTATCCTGCTACATTGTAATAAGTAAAAACGAACGTAGGTTAGCGGCATGATATCTTTATATGCATTTCGTGTATAATATGAAAAGGCAAAGCCTTATGAGAGCGTAGCTTTTGTTGATCTCTGATATTTACTGATTCAGAAAACTACTTCCAGAATGAGATAAGATCAACTTTATTTAAACTCGGCGAGTCGAGGAATGACAATAAAACATAAGCTCTAACGAGATTAAGACCGACATAACAATAGGGGAGATCGGGGCAAGTTCGGCCAATTTTTGTTAAAGTCCGTTCTGGGAAGTATGACAGCACGTCCGTTTTTGAACATTATTTAATGTTCCCTGTCGGAAGATCGGATTGCCGAACATGAGATAAGTCCGCCATGGGATAAGTTCGGACAGGCATTCGGGTAAGTTCGGCCCCCATTGGAATCAGCCTAATAATGACGTCATAAAGCATGCAACGTCAGATTTTACCGCCAATTTTACCACTTTTTTGTCTTACATGGGCCGAACTTGTCCCGGTATCATTGGCCGAACCTGTCCGGGCTCAAATTGATATTTTACTAAATTCTTGTCGTACAGCAATATAGTAGTGAGTGCTTGACTTGGCTTTTATGTATATCATTTGAAGCTGTAAACGTGTTACATTTGACCGTAAAAAAGTAGCAATTATGTGATCAGAACGTTCGCATAACTTGAAGCGAGATCATGATTTCCTTTCTACTCTATCAAAAGTAATTTTCCTCGTCATTAAAACTAAACTGCTAAGATCCTTAAAGTTGTAAATATTAGCTCAAAAACAAAAATATCAGGGTTGGCCGAACTTGCCCCGGTCTCCGGTGTGTAGATTTTTTGTTTCATTGATTATTGGTAAAAATGTATTCACAATATAATTTTTGCATCAATGACGCCATTTTCTTCCAGTCAAAACTATTCAAGTTGATTTTTTGTTCTTTTGTGTAACGTTTATGTTGAATCAGGTTGCGCAGTGGATAGCACGCTCGTCTTCACAAAGATGGCCGGATTCAATCCCGGTCACCAGCCCGATCACGCGATAAATGCAACCGACATCAACTCCAAGATTTTCCGGTTATTTTTCATCCTTCCGGAAATAACCGATGAAGGCCGACAGAGTGTGACGTGCTTGTGACGTCATAATATGATACTCTCTGAACGGAGTTTCATGCCTACTAGTATCATAATTTATGTGATTGTTTTTTTTTTCACTCACAATTTGTATTAAATATAAAACATGAGTATTGTTTTCACTATATGAAGATGTTCATGTATTGGTTGAAACACTATTGTCTTTGCTTCAAGGATACATTTCCGGTTTCCCCACTGGTCGTCTACTTCCGGACGAAAAAACATAAGGGCTACGCTCTTATAAAGTACACGTCACCATAATTTGTATCAACAGAATGTCATACATACTGTAAAACAAAACGCAGTACTCTGAAATATTTGCTATTTTAAGAAAATGCTGTTAAAAGTAATTGGGAACGTTTCAAGCTAACAATAGATCGTGTGAAAAGGCATGATAATTAATGCACAGCATGTCATCATGATTATCGACGGCTATTTTGACAGTCAATATACATTATCATAAAAGAAAAAAACTTTGTATCACATGATATTCTGATAACGGATATATCATTTCTAAACAAAGCATATAAGTCATTTTCAAAACTGATCGGAAAATTTACAAGGAGTATTATATTTGTCAGATGAAATAACATAGCCATGTGGATAACAAATACATGTGTATTTTAATGAAAGTATTGATATGGTAAAAAGCGCGTTGCTTGTATTAAAATGATATGATAGCACTCCCACTAAAAACCTGTCATGAAATCATATAGAAGTTGAAGGACAGTAATTCTTGACGACAGAAATTAATCATAGTATCAGCAATGTGTATTCTATGTTTAAGCACCCGGATCTAGAGTTCATGCAAAATTCGACCAATGCAAAACGATGCGTGTGATATGCATGTGTGAAATAAGTAAAATACACATGTAGTAATAATGTCTCACCTACCTATACAAGCTCCCGTAAGACCCTCACATTTCTTTCCTGCGCAATTAGACGCACATGGACTGCAAATTTCACTAACTTTATAATATCCAGCAGCGCAATCGTCTGAAATTCGAGGTTAGATTTGATGTTATTAAATGACTGTACAAGGTAATCTAAAGTTCCACTTTTGAACTATTTTAAGTGTACATATATACATAAACGTACATCCATTAACGCAACAGTGTGCACAACAGGCCGGTTAGAATACTTAGTAATCATACACCTACACGAAATATTTATATTCTGTATGCTTAGACCAATTGACAAAATTGACATTAAGTTTTATATATATATTTATGGCCCCATCATTGCATATTGACACACTTAAATGACATAGCATACGGCGTTCTAGGTTCAAGTCCGCCGTGAAAATCCCTCGATGCAATTTTGTTATGCTAATTTGAATGGAACATTAAACATAATTGGCTTGATATCAAAGCTTGAATAAGGTGTGTAAAGTACATATAAAAATATACGACTTGTATAATTCTACAAATAAAATTTAAAAAATGGAACTATATTTTGTTTGTTTGCTGTTTCTTAAAACAATGGCGGAAAAGCATATCAATGTATTTTTTCTTAACAAAACACGTTTCAAAGTGTTTAGGAAATATTAAAACAATTATCGCAGCTGGATCTAAACTGTAGTATCTGTTCGAATTGTATATCGGGCTCTCTTATTGTTTTAAGATTTCATTTTTGTTGTGAATCGATACCAAACTAATGCTTACATTTTATCCAAAAATAAAATTTGTTCTTGACTGGATACTTTTCATTGAAGATTCTTTTTTGATTTTTTCACGATCAGTTACCCTTGGTCTGGCATAGTGCTATCATATATACCTACATAACATTGCCAACAATATGCCTAATGTTATTTGTTGACTTCTGAAATGTCGTTCCGTGTCTTCATTAACATGTTAAATAATCACTGTTTCTTAATTGTTTAATTAAATACTGTATTGTTTATTTATATTGTCCTTTACCAGGAATAAGTTACTTTTCTTCAACTATTTTTATCTTCGAATATGGGTTTCACATTATATTCTCATTAATTCTATTCTCGTATTATATGATTATATGATATATGATTTGAGTATTGCCATTTTTAACATGTGCATACATTTCTTTCTTAAATGTGAAGTTAGTGTATGCTATACGTTGCCGTTCGCATTTGTTAATGAAAATTGTTGAATACGTAAAAAAATAGAAATTCATGAAAATTCAATAATACTATACCTTGACTTGTTTAGCTTATTTTATAATGCTTTTTTTATGCATACAAATGCTTCTCTATTACGCTAAATCCCCCATCGTCAGATGTTATAACGGGGATATTAGCAGTCTCAGATAAACGAATCAATGTTTGATTTCCTATATAGCTTATGTTGGAAATTATATCGTTCAGGTTTTTTAACTGTTGAATTGATGTCTGTAAATGCAAAAACATTGTTGATTATATTTTCTTAATTAAAATTCTTTAGGTGTTGTTGTTTTCTATATCGGGCTTATATAATTATTATTTTTTAATCTAAAGTAGAAATTACTAGAAAAGACTGCCGAAATGATTTTTTTTATGATTTTTCTTCTGTGAGTGATAAATGTTAGGCTATTTAAAGAACATTTTTTCTTGTTTAATGCTGAAAATTCTTTAAAGAAATGATGAACTGCAAAAATCTATTTCCAATGCTTTGAAGCATGTAAAGTCTAGGCAATCAATCGTTAGAGGAAATGTTAAAACCTATTTGTTTACATAAGGGTTCAACAAACCCCCTAAAATATGCTTTAGTCACCCGTAATTTTATAACTCTAATAATTCATACATGAATTCAAAAATCCCATTTAAACATGGAATTGATGTTCATGTATATCATTTGAATAAATTGAACTGATACATTAGCTCTTTTATATTTTGGTCGCAAAAGAGATCGGTATGTTATAAGTCCAGTGAACAATTTTATGAAGACAACAGCATTACCGCCTTATTATTGACGTCGTTAACGTCAATCAGTACCATTAAGTAACTAAATGTACAGGTTCATTATATCCAAATTAGAAATATAAGTTCCCTATATTTTTGGAATATTTTAATATGATTTATCAGGGGTTGGCATTTATGCTGACTATACCATCTTTCAGTGAGTTTGTTAAATCGTAAGATTTATCAAATTACAAGACGAAGCTTAAAACTGAAATTAATAAAGAGAAGCTAACAATATTTTGTATTTAATTGTATCACAGTTTAAAAAAAAAATTCAGAAAAAATAAATGTACATAAAAAATACTGTTACATGTAAATTAAATCAGTCATGAATAATACATGTAGTGACATGCATATGTGCTAACTTTACATCTCTGATATATGCAACATTTGTTTTGTTAAATACATACATTATTTCTTTGTGTGAATGTGTTATTTTCTGTAAAATATTGCTCATCAAACCCCAATTTAAAGCTCTATTTTCTTCCCGAATAATTGAACAGAGCAATGACAACGAACACAGAAAAAAGACGTCGCATTATCATTGTGTAAATGGTGCTAAAACGAATTCTTATAAAAGGAAATGAAGAATACAATGATACTTACCCCTCCTACGACCCTGATAAGGTTGAAGGATATCACTTATTTCAAATGCATTGCGAGTATATTCGTATTTGTTGATATTCACGTTACCATGTCAGTTTTACTTACATAATTACTAAACTAAATGTCAAATGGACGGAAGGAGGCAATCCCGTAATACGATCTTATAAATAATTTGCTCTACTGTTCTCATTATTGTTCATGTGTAGGAGAAATATAGATCAAGGATACTTACCACATGTACCAGATGCATAGAAAAAATATAGATCAAGGATACTTACCACATGTAGCAGATGCATAGAAAAAATATAGATCAAGGATACTTACCACATGTACCAGATGCATTTGATAAATATAGATCGAGGATACTTACCACATGTACCAGATGCATTTGATAAATATAGATCGAGGATACTTACCACATGTACCAGATGTGTAATACGATCTTATAAATAATTTGCTCTACTGTTCTCATTATTGTTCATGTGTAGGAGAAATATAGATCAAGGATACTTACCACATGTACCAGATGTATATAAAAAATATAGATCGAGGATACTTACCACATGTACCAGATGTATAGGATAAATATAGATCGAGGATACTTACCACATGTACCAGATGCATAGAAAAAATATAGATCGAGGATACTTACCACGTGTACCAGATGCATAGGATAAATATAGATCGAGGATACTTACCACATGTACCAGATGTATATAAAAAATATAGATCGAGGATACTTACCACATGTACCAGATGCATAGAAAAAATATAGATCGAGGATACTTACCATAATTACTAAACTAAATGTCAAATGGACGGAAGGAGGCAATCCCGTAATACGATCTTATAAATATTTTGCTCTACTGTTCTCATTATTGTTCATGTGTAGGAGAAATATAGATCAAGGATACTTACCACATGTACCAGATGCATTTGATAAATATAGATCGAGGATACTTACCACATGAAGGAGGCAATCCCGTAATACGATCTTATAAATAATTCGCTCTACTGTTCTCATTATTGTTCATGTGTAGGAGAAATATAGATCAAGGATACTTACCACATGTACCAGATGCATTTGATAAATATAGATCGAGGATACTTACCACATGTACCAGATGCATAGAAAAAATATAGATCGAGGATACTTACAACATGTACCAGATGCATAGGATAAATATAGATCGAGGATACTTACCACATGCACCAGATGTATAGAAAAAATATAGATCGAGGATACTTACCACATGTAGCAGATGTATAGAAAAAATATAGATCGAGGATACTTACCACATGTACCAGATGTATATAAAAAATATAGATCGAGGATACTTACCACATGTACCAGATGCATAGAAAAAATATAGATCGAGGATACTTACAACATGTACCAGATGCATAGGATAAATATAGATCGAGGATACTTACCACATGTAGCAGATGTATAGAAAAAATATAGATCGAGGATAATTACCATAATTACTAAACTAAATGTCAAATGGACGGAAGGAGGCAATCCCGTAATACGATCTTATAAATAATTCGCTCTACTGTTCTCATTATTGTTCATGTGTAGGAGAAATATAGATCAAGGATACTTACCACATGTACCAGATGAATAGAAAAAATATAGATCAAGGATACTTACCACATGTACCAGATGTATAGGATAAATATAGATCGAGGATACTTACCACATGTACCAGATGCATAGAAAAAATATAGATCGAGGATACTTACCACATGTACCAGATGTGTAATACGATCTTATAAATAATTTGCTCTTCTGTTCTCATTATTGTTCATGTGTAGGAAAAATATAGATCAAGGATACTTACCACATGTACCAGATGCATTTGATAAATATAGATCGAGGATACTTACCACCTGTACCAGATGTATAGAAAAAATATAGATCGAGGATACTTACCACATGAAGGAGGCAATCCCGTAATACGATCTTATAAATAATTTGCTCTTCTGTTCTCATTATTGTTCATGTGTAGGAAAAATATAGATCAAGGATACTTACCACATGTACCAGATGCATAGGATAAATATAGATCAAGAATACGTACCACATGTACCAGATGTTGCGTCACACATGTTACCGAGGCAGTTTAAGCAGTCGTTATTGCAATTTCCATTTCCGTACTTCCCAACTTGGCAACCTGCAGAAGAAATGTGATGTCTATGCACCCAATTTGGCAAATACATTCTAGTAATGCAAATGTACTATGCGTTAATATTGAGAATAAGATATCACTATAACGGTGAATTTATAAGTGGTACATATTATTATACTTAATTTTATCGATTTTGAGTTTTAATAACTGTTTTGTTGACGCATTTTCTTTTTTTTCTTTTTAGTGGTAAATATATTATGGGCCAATAATTTGTTGCAAAGATGTAACACATCCGCAATACCCAAAAGGTTCAAAGGATCTGAACTTGTACCAATATTGAAGATCTGGTCATTATCACAGTTTATAAAGCAAATCTGACACGTGAAGGCTCATGTTAATTGCTTTGTCAGCACAAGTGTGTCTTATATTTAAGCTTCATTTTAGACGGAGAACATCTCGAAAAATTGCGCTTATCGTTTTTGTAATTCTGGAACTTTTCCATGAATAGGGTGGCCTTACACTACGCATAACAGAAAGTTGACTGATTGTCTGTCATTCGAACCCAATAATTGATAATGAATGCCGTTTAGGGTACACTTGTAAATATAAATTTGATTTAAATTCCATATAATTCAAGCTGATAAATCTGTATATCCTTTATAATGGGATATTCAATTAAACACCCAAGAAAAACGACCCATACATATGTAGCTCTTGGTGTTTCTATATTAGATTTCCGGACGCGAAGCTCATAATTTTTAAATCAATACTGTTTATATGCAAATAGTTACACTTTGACATCATGGAATAATTCAAATCTTGTGCTAAAACTGATCTAATTACCATCGCAGTAAATATTGTTAATCATTTGTTAGTTAAACACTTGACAATATTCAAACGAACAAAGTTGTGCTGCCATCTCAGTGTAGTAATGGACCAGGAAATATTATTACCGGGATGAGACCGGGGCAAATGGGCACAGAAGTACACTCTCTTTTAAACGCGGGAGAATGTTTACTTTCAAAGGAAATATTCACGCAATCAATTTATTTTTAAATGTTTTCATAAAAGTGCCGGCGCGTATTGAGAAGTTTAAACAAATCATTAAAGCTAAATGACGACTGATTTATTTCTTCTGCCACTTTATTCAGGACCATGCAGCATATGTACATGTATACTTGCTTTCCCTTTTACACCTTTTCCATACGCAGTAAGTCATTTTCATACGCTTCTTCAACTTAGTACATCATGCAAATTTTGTCAGATATGGACGGTGTATGCATAATACGTTTTTCAATTACAGGGCGATGTAAGCATATAAAATTTGTGAATTAACCTTTTTTGATGATACAACTTTGTTAATGCAATTATCTATTTCCTTGTAATGGGATATCGACTTTTATATTATAAGAAAAAGACATGTTCATGTTTGTTTTAGTGAAATAACCGGTCCCATCCCGTTACAAAATATTGCATTGTCCCTAATCTCTGGAATTTGTAGGAATAAAAGTATTTAAGTCTCTTTGTCAAAAAAAGAAAACATATAGTCCCTGGCGGCATATATGGACAAAACATTGTTACACGGCTATGCATTTTACGTCTTTGCATGACAAAGCAAATATGATTTAGTATTTCGTTACATTTTTTATTACTTTATTGCATAAATGTAGCAAACGGATTAGGCACAAGTTATATCATTATTACAAAGGCCCTCTCCACAATAAATTTTACATAAATTGAGAAATAGCATAATTTGATCACAATGAATATCATTTTTTCATAGAATAAATGACATAATACAACAGATATAAATATAATGAGTTAATGTCATAGCACATTAACTAAACCTTTGGCTGGATTTAATGTACTTTTGCACATTTCTAAAAATTATAGTGTTTACTTCTACCGACAGATTTTCATTTCCTATGAGCAATAAATTTATATCAATGACAACATCCAGATTTAAATCATCAAAATTTGAAAGAAGAGTACGTCTTTGTATATTATAACGAGGAAATATCAAAAAGAGGTGGTAGGCATTCTCACAAGTGTTTCCACAAATACATTCAGAGTTCTCAGTAAGATTTACTCTAAAAAGGTCATAATTTGACGGACTACAATTGTACCTCAACTTTGTATGCAATATATTAAATTTTCTTTCTCCAAAACTGTAGAAGGATGGTGCTTTTTGATTAACTGGATGTTAAATAGGAGATTTAATAGTAAAAAGCGAAGGAGAAGATCTTGTTTCCACGTCTAACCCGTTCCAAGAAAGTAATGTTGATGGTAAAAAAGAAGAGCGTGTACAAGAAAGTCTATGATTTGGAACGATAAAACCATCTCTGTTTCTAAGTGGATAGGGATTGTTGAAAGCAACCGTAGGTGGTAAGAGATCGTTAAGAAAATATGGAGTAATACTGTTTTTCATCTTAAATAACAACTGCAGTTTTCTCTTTTTTCCTCGGTCTGATAACTTCTCCAACCCTGTTTCAATGTATAAAGCAGAATTGTTTACATATGACGGAAGACCAGTAATGATACGTAATGCTTCTCTTTGAGCCTTTTCAGGTAATTCTGATTCGTTAAGAGTGCATCCATCCCACAGTTCACAGGCGTACTCAAATACCGGTAAAATAAAAGTGGTATACATTTTCAACAAAGTGTTCCTATTAAGAATATATTTTAACTCCCTGAGTACATTTATCTTTTTCATTACAGAATCATAAACATAATTGACAAGATCAGACCATTTCCCACTTAAATTGAAAACAACACCCAAGGATTTATGTGTTTCAGTAAAATTTAAAATTTCACCACCAAAGATAAGATCAAGTTGGCCATTTAGATTTACAGAATTAGTTATAAACAAAATCTCTGTTTTACCAGGGTTAAAATTTACTAGCAACTGCTTTGCCCAGGAATCGAGCGATAATAAATCTTAATTTAACTCAGTTTCAATATCAACACAAAGTGTGGAGGATTTAAAAATAGTGGTATGGTCAGCAAAAAGACGAGATGCAGAACGTAAAACTTCAGCAATATCATTTATATATATTAAAAAAAGAAAGGGCCAAAAATGGAAACCTCCAGCTTTGATAAAACCAATGGACGAACGTGAATCAGCAATGAAAACTCTCTGGTTTCTATGACAGAGATAATCTTTAAACCATCCCAAAAGGTTTCCTGTAATTCCATAAGATTTCAATTTTGCCAATAGCCCGTAGTGCCAAACCCTATCAAACGCTTTTGATATGTCACAGGATATTAAACATGTATGTTCTTTTTTATCAAGTGCCATGCAAATATTGTGATATATTTCAATTCATTGATAAACAGTAGAATGGTCTGGCATAAAGCCAGACTGATGTTCATAGAAGAGAGAATTCATTATAAAATAATTATGAACATGTTAAAAAATAACCTTCTCAAATACCTACAGAATATAATAATGATATCGGTCAGACATTTTCGTTACATACGTATATGATCCGATTTTAGTCCTTCTTCCTCAAGAACTATCATCTCAGACAGTCATTTTGATATTATTACATATTTCATGTGAATAAAACTTGCTTCTTTTTATGACATTAAAAATCATACCAACTTAATAGACCCGGAAATATTATAACATAATGTTCGGCGGTACTGCAAACCACGGATTCGATTAGACCTTGGTATAACATGACAACAATTATCTCTCGTAGAGCCCTATCACAAAATCAAACTAGAAATATGTCAGAATGACATGAAAGTCACCCCATCATTCTGTATGATTATTTTTAGATAAATCATTGACCAAGCTACAACGGATATATTTCCACCTGTCAATCAAAATGGTAAACAATAATATATAGTAAATACATACACGCAGTTCAGGTAGCCATGCCAACACATAGAATTAATAAGAAAGCATGTCGCATATATAACGTAAGCGTTGACTGACACCTCGAATACGGGGAGATCTGCGAGCTCACACGGTCCCCTGGCATGGTCAGAACAGGTAATTGGAATATAACGATGTTGTTTTCAAAACAATGAGTTTCAGAAAAGATTCAATCTTATAAACGGATAAATCTTTTATTTTGTTATTAAACACACTTTTCCAAGTAGTTTTCTGATCGTCTGCAAATCCGACTGAATTGGTCATCGGTATCGGCCGAGTGTGTACGCTTAAAGGCAGCCACTCAAACAGGTTCGACGAGGACCGCCAACAGCCGAATTCGCGAGACATGAAGAACACCAAACAATTGTGATTTCTGCAATTCTCCTTTGAAAAGAAAAGATCGCAATGTATTTGGCTGTTTTGAACCCGTTAATATTTATTTTTCAAACTCAAACCTTTATCATTATCGGTTCAATTCGCATGAATGTCACCTTGTAAATTCCTGCCGGTTGATATTATCATGCGACTTTGACTCTTTGCGGTACACAAAAAGGAGCTAACTTCACCACTTTACCAATGTTGTTTATCAATTCACAACGTAACGTCCTTAAAAGTTGGGCCTACTTTACTCGAGTATTTTTATCCGATTCTATCGTATAATATAACTTAAACTTGCAACTCTTCGTAATTGTTAAATTGACAATGCAATCAGGGGTTATTCAATGAAATTTAGCAGTTTATTGCTGCGAGAATATTTCAAAACATTTCCGAAAATCCTCGAAAAGTTTACGATAAATGGTCGCGACCAAGGACTGGTTTTGGATTGTACTTGAGTATCGTTCCGACAGAAGCACACACTTAACAGCCCAAGACAACAGAGGTCAAAATCTGGGACTGAAACTTAAATAGTTCCTTGGAGGTAAAAAGTCCATTTCATTTGTAGTTATAACAAAATAAGACGTATTGTAATATGTTAATGACATTCATAGTTTAGTATTGTAATAGATAAATGTAGATACTCACCATAAACTTGTACCTCACACAGTTCCAGTATAGCATCCGTCGAGTACCACGTTTTTGCTTCTTCTCGACGGTCATTGTAGATAGTCAGATACCGGGAGACACCTGGACATGTAATGTACTGTGTCACAGCCATGGACCCCAATTCAGCTGTGGTGTCCTTGTGACACCTTGTTCCTAATGTCCAGTCTTGAGTATTAGACAGGAATATCTCGTATCCCGCAAATCTGGCTAGGTTGTTCTCATCTACAATAAATAATATATAGCGGGTTAGAACATTTGATACCCGAGTTAAGAGTAGGCAAAATTCATAATCAATTATTACTTAATAATAGCTTATTTTTTGTTTCTATATTTAATTTTTGCTTGGATGATGCTGTATAGATTTACATGGCAAAGTATATTTCGTTCTCTTATCTATTATTTAGGTAAAACAATATCCTATTTGTGGTATTCGTTTTGTAAGTTAAGCTTCAGTAAGCTTTGTCTAGTAACAACATCCTGTGTGAAAACAATACTATATAATTGCCGTCATTTCGATGAGAACGGTTCATTTATCAAATTTCACATTGTTGACTTCACATCTGTGATTGTCGCGTTTTGCTAGTAAAACGTCTTCACGACAAAGACTAAGGATTCATAGTAAAGTTTTCGTGTGTGGGTGCGGTTTTATGCACGTGAAAGGCCGATGCTATATATGGGATTTATTGAAGTATTTTCAGGGATATATCTTTTATTTTGGATAAAAGATATGTGCCATAAGTAGCAACCAGCTTGGCAGTGTTTCATATAAGTGCTTTGATTTTGACATCGGTTGCCGATCAGGGTGCGCGGTGCATTGAATCGCAAAACGGTCAGTGGTAGATGGATAACCGGTTTGACAGGTAATGCGCTTTCATACCCAGCGAGAACCGTACTCGTTATAAAGAAAGGACTCTCTAAAATGTCGGCGCTGTGGGTATCAGCAGGTATATTCTTTTCTAAAACCACGATATGCAGGGGTGCATTGCCATTAAACATCGCTCTTTCATTATATACAATTATCATTTAGCTTCTGTCACTTTGTGAAATGATATGATGGTTTGTTACGACAAAGTTTCTCGATTTGTCGCCGTGTCCTGTGTCACATTTGACTTCAATAAATAAGAAAATCGTGTTACTTTGAATTTAGAAAGAAAAGGAAGCTGTTTGTGGTCGTAATTTGTGACATTGATTTCAAAATACAACGTGATTAAAACGATTCATTCGTGACTTCACTGCAACAAACATGTACATACATGTATTTATCATACATTATATCAAATAAACATATATCAACATAACTTATTCTTATTTGTGAAGTACGTGTTCTGAAAAGTGATTTTTGAAACAAAGCAAAAAACTTACATCTAAATATTGAATTGTTTAATAAAGAAAAAATAACACCAAATAATGCCGGAACAAACAAAAATCTTATAAGATGTCCATAAAAGTCTGTTTCGGTACAGGACAGTTGCATACCTGTTCCTGCATAGTATTATACCAAGTACGTAACATCAACACTCCCGGGACAGTACAATACTTATAATATACAACATTTATAATACGCCCTATATATGTTGTAAAATTCTTCTAAAGCAATTTACGACAAATGGATGATAGTATCATAATTGATAAACAAAAAAGACATAGAAATCACCATTATACATGATAATATCACTATCTATATAAATTAAAATATAAAGGGTGGTGTGTACATGACGTCTGTGCAATGAGCCTAAAATGCAGACGTGAAGAAGTGGGTCTGTATATCCTTCTTGAAATTGGCCAGAGTATTTGACTTTCTAATAGCAGATGGTAAGCTATTCCACAACGTGTCCGAAACCCTCCCAAACCCCCGGTTTCCGTAGATCACAGTACGAGATAAACAACAATGATTCTGTGTTCGACTGCAGTAATCGTGACGGCTGATACAGGGTAACAAACTCCTGTAGGTACTGGGGAGCTGTTACATTCAGTGCCTTGTATTTGTACACCAAAATTGTGTACCACGACTTACATCGTACAGGTAAACAGTGCAATAAGAATAGCACAGGTGTGATATGCTCTCTCTTTCTAGTTCGAATAACCAGACTTGCTGCAGTGTTCTGGGCCCTCTGCAGACGACTAGTTAGTTTGTCAGAATAAGTTATTGGCCACATATTAGAATTACCATACATTCAGCAAAAGGATTGGGCACAAGTTATGTGAACATTATTATCGCCATTTCCTTACAATTTAAAAGAATGAAACAAATGTGTACATCGTAAGATGACTTAATATCAATATATAGATGATTTCTATGTCATTTTTATTCTATAGATAGATATATAGATATATGGGTCAAAGAAGTAATATAGATGGTAAAATCCCATATAACACTGGATCCTAATGGAGGTATGTCCGTAGGATACGAACTACTTAAAATAGTAAACGGGTCCACACTGTTGGAATTACTTCTTTGTCCCATATATATAGATATAGACATACTATCATTATAATCGAATGATTGAATAGAAGAGAGGTAGCGAGAGAGCAAAAATTATTAGCATTTAACAGTTTGAAACAAATATTAACTTAAAGATATATGTTCACCTATATGCTTACACAATCACACCAACGCACTCTCTCATCCACTCATACAAGCATAATAGCAGTATACATGTATAGGACCGACAGCACAAGTGATTTGCTTAGCACTATTCATCACATTCACATTTCTATTGTTCATCACATCCCGTGCCATGTTGTCGTTCAGAAGAAGGGTTGGAGAAGAGACTATAGTGAGAAAGACGTAACCTAGTTGAGTTCTCGACACGAACTGCTGGACATGCATGAATAACTCTTCATTTTCCTCACTCGAGTTTTTTTCACTACGATATAAAAGTTTCTCTAGACTCAGCGGCAAATATTTATGAAGATTTCTGAACAATCGTAGTCGTTGTTCAGTATATCTGCTGCATGTGAAGAAGCAGTGGTTAGAGTGTTCAAATTGAGTATCCGCATGCACAATCAGAAGAGCTAATTAAGTTAGTGATGAAGAGATCGTCATTTAGAGTACTACATTTATGTCGAAGTCTGGTTGTTAGAATGTTTATTTTGCGGTCGCCAACTAGATACAAATCTGGTACCTTGAATGTTTCATTTTGTTTCTTTAGAATATCTTTAAAATTGTCAAAGGAATGTGCATTTTTCAAGGTGGCCTCAATGTAGTCCATACTCTTACATTAGGAGGTATGAAAGAATTGTTATATGGGGTTACAGTAGATACCAGAAGTGGAACGATGTCTTTTATGTAAGAAGGGGTCATTTTATTATGTATTTTATTAAAAAGATGAAGCTTGCGGCGAGGGCGTCTTTCAGACAGTGTTCCCCAACCTGTTTCAGTATACATCGACTATCTACTAGCAAAAGATGGTAAAACCGTGACAATACGCTCCACTTCTAATTGTATTTTTTTTCTAATTTACATGCATCGGCGATAGAACAACAATCCCATACCTCATAACAGGTAAGATAAAGGTTAGATAAATCCTATTTAATATTTTACAATTTATAGTGTATCTTAATTTTTGAACCATATTTATTTGATTATTAACACTTTTACAAATGCTATCGATTCGATTTGACTATATACAGTTCGCATCAATATAAATACCTAGATGTGTATGGTGGTCTATAAAATCTATATAAACATTATTAAAAACGATGTTTATATCTAATTCTTCATTGGTATATATTTACATTCTTGATATTTGTTCTGTACATGAACCAACCAACTGAAAACAACTGCTATTAAACCATGAATACACCACTGTATATACCGGACTTGTATTATATCGGAGAGATTGAAGTGATACTTTTGGGATTCTCTGCTATTATTTAGCAATATTTTTCATCATGCTAGCCAGTAATAAACATCAACGTGGACAGAGCGGGTTACAGATCAGATCATTCAGTCCCAGTTATAACTTTTAAAATTAATGAATTTAAGAAAGGGAAAGGCTTATGGAAACTGAACAATTCTTTATTACTGGAACATGAATATTTAGATATGGTAAAAAATTGCATCGAGAACATTAAGTTACACTTCTCAAGTGAATAGAAAGTCAAGCTGTCAGAATTTTTAACCGGATCATTCACTGTAAATATTCCTGCCTCAAACCAATTTCGATAAAAAATAAAATTATTACCCACTTGAATATCTTTGTTATACCGTAGGGGAGTTTTTTAACATTGATTCACTTCTACTGTAGGTTTGTCTCATAAATTTGGAATTATTCAGTCTAACCCATCCTTTAAAAACATCCTTCCAAAATGGGTTAAGACAGGTATTTACACATGTCATAATGTATTCTTTTCCACAATTAATCATATTTTTAGGATCCAAAATTAGATTCAAAAGCTGATTCCATTTTCCAGATGGCTGGAACAGTCTTCTAATCCAACCTAGCTTAAGAGAATCTATAGAAGCATGTACATCAATCATCTTTAATCCCCCATTTATATAGTTTTGAATCACAACTTCTTTTTTAATCCTATGACTTTTGCCATTCCATAGAAAATTGAATAACAAAGAATTCAACTTAGCAATATATTTTTCGGATGGATTTGGCAAAGTGATAAACAGGTAATTAAGTTGGGAAATCAACAAAGACTTTATGATACTAATTCTACCTAATGGAGTCAAACTCCGTCTATTCCAATTATTAATAAGAGCTTTAAGTTTAACAATCTTTTTGTCAAAATTCATTCTTGGAATCTCACTTAAATCTACGGAAAAATCTATACCCAAAAAGTTGAACTTATCCTTCCCCCATTGTAGATGCAAGTCTGGAAGGAAAGTTTGGTCACTATATTTTCTACTGCCTATCCATATAACCTGTGTTTTTGTAGTATTGATCTTTAACCCAGAGATATTTGCAAAATTATTCAATTCATCGATAGATTCCTTAAGAGACCTCTCAGTACCATCTAGTATCAACCCAGAATCATCTGCATATTGTATATTTAAAATATCTATATTTTCCAATTGGATGCCTTTAATATGGTCATTTTTTCTTATTTTTGATGCTAAGACCTCAACACAAAGTTTAAAAATATATGGGGCGATAGGATCACCTTGACGGAATCCGCGTTGAATGTTGATAGGTGCAGAAATACTGCCACCTTGATTAACATAAGAAAATACATTAGTGTGTAAAGATTTAACCCTTTGTCTTATGTCCACCCCAAAATTAAAATATTCTAGTAACTTATCAATAAAACTCTATGAAACCGAATCAAATGCNAGTGCATCACATCATATAATGTTCGAATATTTTCCCCAATAAAGCGCCCTGATAAGAATCCTGTCTGGTCATTATTTATAAGTTTTCCTAATATAGTTTTTATCCTACGAGAAAATACTCCAGAGGCTATTTTATAAGTGATATTCAAAAGTGAAATTGGTCTCCAATTTTTCAAAAAATGACGTGGTTTATCTCCCTTTGGGATACATGTTATTATACCTAGTCGTTGTGTGACTGACAGCTGACCATCTGTAAAACCATAATTAATTGAACGAACAACAAAATTACCTAAATATTTCCAAAATGTCTTAAAAAAATCTGAAGTAAAACCGTCAGACCCAGGACTTTTATTATTTTTCATGTCTTTCAATGCTTTCCCTGCTACCCCAATGTTATTTTACCCTCTAAATTGCTAGACTCAACATCATTTTACTTTGGAATATTACAGTCACTAAGATGAACATCTAAATCAGTATTGTCAACATCCCTATGTCTATATAAGTCTGCATAAAATGATTGCACTTCTTCTAAAATATTTTTCTGCTTTGTAATATTTTCATTGTACTCTTTCTGAATTTGTGGAATAACTTTGGAAATAAAGTTTCTGTTTTCCAAATTAAAAAAATAAGATGTAGGTTTCTCTTCCTCTTCTACCCATTTTGCTCTTGATCTTATAATACTACCTCTGATTTTTTTCAAACGTATACATTCCAGCTCCCTTTTCTTATCTCCTAATTCTTCCTGGTCTGAGTTTATACTATCTTCTAAAACTTCTATAATTTTCTTAAGGTCTTCTTCTTTCAAGTTCTGTTGCTTTTTCCTGTAAGATGCATAAGATATAGATTTGCCTCTAATTTCCATTAACAATGTTTCTAAAAAAAAGTTGATCATTAATTAAAAACTGAATATCACTATTGGGAATAAGTGATAAGGAGTTAAAATTATACACTGGAAGACAATATTGTAACTTCATGTTCTCGATGCAATTTTTTTACCATATCTAAATATTCATGTTCCAGTAATAAAGAATTGTTCAGTTTCCATAAGCCTTTCCCTTTCTTAAATTCATTAATTTTAAAAGTTATAACTGGGGCTGAATGATCTGATCTGTAACCCGGTTCAATACTTGATTTTTTTATACTGGATAAAAGGTTGTCTGAAATAAGGAAAAAATCTAATCTGGCCTGTTTTATTGGATTACTTCTCCGCCAACTAAATCTCTTAGTATCCTGGTGATGCTCCCTGTATATGTCAATCAGCGTATACGTATCAATCAGTTCTAAAACCTTGTTTCTAGCAGCAACATTGTTAATATTTCTGTATGAACGATCATAATCTAACTCCGGGTTCAATACTAAGTTAAAATCCCCACATATAATCATATGATCATTCCCAAAACTATCAATAGTATCTGAAACAATGTTATAAAAATCTGGGTTGTCTTGATTCGGGCCGTACAGAGTAATTAGTGTTGTTCTGGAACCCTCAATGGTAATATGAAGAGCAAGGAAATTTCCAATCAAGTCTTTCTTTTCTTTGTGTACTTTACTTTCAAAGTTAGAGTTTAAAAGTATAGCGATACCACGTGAATTTGATTTAAAAGAACTAAAATAACTGTCATATCCCCACTCATTTCTTATGTTATTTTCCTGATCTAGTGTATAATGGGTGTCCTGCAAACAATAAATATCATACTTCTTGTCTCTTAGATACGCAAACACGTCTTTTCTCTTTACTCTATCTCCAAGGCCCTGGCAGTTAGCCGAAAGCACATTGATATCGTTCATGTTATTTCCGAGTTTGCACATGATAAAAGTAAGATTAAACCCCCAAATGGACAGGCAGATAAAGAGGAAATAAAGGGAAAGACTAAATTGTGTTTAACAGTGTCATATGTTTGTCTTTTGTCCGATATTTAATGCAGATATACCTCTATTTAAATTAGCTCTCGTGAGGTCAGTATGTACACTTTAATACATTATGATTAATATAACTGTATATCTATCAAAGTACACTCTATCAAAAGTCACGGTCTCATCGATAGGGGTGTCGAAATCGAAATAAAAATACATCTTAATGCTAATTTTAAGTTACCTTTCGTGTTTAATTGTGTATGATTTGATGGTTATCTTTAAGAGAAGACACTTCAGATGACAAAAAGAACTATGCATCTACTTTCATATTTTATAAATGTATTAACAAAACAATCATTGTGCTTCCCAATGTAGAACTTGCATAATTAAATGCGAGTTGTTAATTGATAGGACATAAGCAAGTTACCGTCAACAGAATCTTACCTCTATATATGATATTCACGGAGTCTATGACGGACTGTGTCTGTAGATCTACCTGCCACCAGGCCTCGGTCTGGCCTTGCGCCGTGTGTGTACAGCAGTCGGAGGTCATGTATGTGCTCTTACATCCGTCTACGGCTTTAGAGCTGTCCCAGTTATGGAGGACAGAACTTTGGTTAGTGGCTTTACCAGAGGCGATGTTAACTGAAATAGAACATAAGGATGATTTTTTGTTATTGTTATCATATATAATGTCTAATCCATTTATTATATGGTAAGTATATTATACTGTATTGGTACGAGATTTACAAATGAATATTTTGCGTGGTTTTTACTTCAATAAAATTCCCCTTCACTTTCTTTAATATTGTTGAGAAATCCAAGCAATCGTTAGAGAGAAAATATTCCCTTCATACACAGATGGAATGTGAAATGTTGGCCACAATTCATTAAACATTAGATACAATGTGGCTATCTAGTATTGACTATCAACTACAATGTAGATGGATAGATGACTCTGTTTTGGGGAGGATTTATACAGGTATAAACACAAATTAACTACAGTTGTAACATCAGGGTTTAGTTTGGCTTGGTTTGGTTTGGTAAGGGGTTCCAATTCTTCTTAAACGATTGGGTCACTTAAAGGTGATTTTAAAGTGTCATTTTAGTGAAATATTATAACCTTGACACTGTAACATAACATCAGGCAGGTAACATTATTCTGACTTCGGCCAAAAACAGGCTAGTCAAGGAGACATCATTATAGGCAGGATGGTAGGAAAGTATAAAGGTCTCGGGTGTTGGATAGGGGGGCAGCTGATGATATTGGTACTGTCTATGTCAAAAGGAAATAATATCTTACAATTTCACAATTTGGATACAACGGTTATATTTCATAACATTATAGACTTCTGTTATGTAATTTATGGATACATATCTATATATTTATCTGAGAAAGTTATAGCAGAATATACCGATATTTGTATTCGTGCTTCGCGCCCGTGGAAATATAGATATGGTATTTAAGATGAAATCATTATCAAACTCGTGATGGTAGGTTATCTTGTTTATCTCACTCTCGTAATTTGATTTTCAAATTGTAAAAGACACTCGGTAAATCTCGTGTCTTTATACAATTTAAAAAATTAACTAACTCGAGTTAGATAAACATGATTACCAACCATCACTCGTTGGGGAACCTCTATGTATCATGATCTGCCTTACTTTTCTTCGAAGTTGTATGTGCAATAAATCCTAAAATCCAGCTAAGAGGCGGAGCTTAGGTGTCCAATAACTTCCAAGAATCAGAAGCTGTGCTCACGCTAGCCATTCGTTTTTTTGTTATTCACGAAATGAAATCCTTATTTACAAAAATAAAATAAACCCTTTTAGCTATATTTGCGAAAGCCTTTTGCCGTTGATTATTGACTATACATTGTACATCTGTGTCGTTTTGTAACATCGATATCGACAGAAAATGAACACAAGCAGCATCGCGACCAGAATGTGAGTATTGACTAAGTCAGCAAAACGCTTGACTTACTAATAAGAATAGCCCTTTCCGATTCAAACATATATGTAAACGAGACAACCAAAACGCTTAGAAACGAAAGTGGAAGTTGAATGGTTTCATTCGTCATTCAAAAGACATTCCCATGACAGGTCATTTAAGGGCCGTAACCAACAAGGAAATTGTTTATTAATTGAATTCCACCACTCTTCAAGGGAATAACTTTATTTAAATGGTATTTTATCTCATATTTGTACTGTAGACAAGAACGTTCCCGATTGTTACGTCCGGACAAATATATGATATGAATATTGTGTCATGCACCGTCCGCTGGAATTCCTGTTGTCACATGAATTGAAATATCATAATATATTGACATTGTCGATTTTTAAAAGAAGATCAGTCTCAACTCATTTCCACCTGTTCCACATCAATAATTAAATGCTACGATCGTTCTGCAACTTCAAAATGCTATTTCATATTGGAAATGGCAATTATTTACCCCAGTTACAGTGAAAAATATGTGTTTTTGTAAATAGTTCTACAAGCCAAATGCTTTTATGACTTTGTGTCCTTCATTGTACTAACGATTGCAGATAAAAAAAGGAAAACTGTCAAGGAGAACGGTAAGTTTGTGGTTAAAAACAGGATTTTATATATTTTTTAATTTCTACTAGTCAGTTTTTATTTAATTTTTGACTAGTCGAAAATAATAAATATATAATCATGTGCATTGATACATAATTTTATTTGACCATTGCTTTTGGTTTACTAGGACATAATGTAAACACTTAAAGAAGGTGTGAAAATTTGAGAATTGGAATTTGAAACTGTTTTATGAAATACTGTATCCATGTGATATTTTGCTCACTTCCTCACATCTGATTCTAGTATATATGTAGCTGTAAACTATGAAACACTGACTGACTGTCCTGTCTGATAATATGCCGTCTAAACCTCAGAATGATTAAAGCCATTACATAGAGGTGTCCAGTTTCATTATTCATTTCTTTTATTTTATAGTGCTGAAAATAGAATTACATTCCTTTAAATCATTTTAATGCAACTTATTGACTATCACGTAAAAGACGACTTATCGTCTCATTTGGATGTCCGAACGAATAAGTAAAAGTTGCTAAAACCAATCATTATTTGCTAAAAAATGTTTTGGTCTAGAGTGAGGACAGAGAAGTTGTCTGCCATGGTTGTTTGGTTGGTTGGTTGACACATTTATCGCCTACATGACTCCATCCTTGCGGGTTTCGTCTCACTGACGGAGGTCGGTTTTGTGTCGGTGTGCTCCTCTGGCATTTATTGCTGGGCTTTTTACCGTGTGTAAAACGTCCACTAACATGAAGTTCTTCACGCCTATTCTCACTTATCATGCGCCATTAACCGAAAATCGGGTCGCAGGATCCTTCCACCGTCTATAGTATAGCCTATACATAAAAACTATAGTTCACTGTTTCAACGTTGATACGTTTTCCAAAAACAAACAAAACTTTTAATGAAAACGTACGGTATTTTTTTCATAAAGTGTACATGAACATGCCAATACACTCGAATAATCGTTGTCGCGTCACTTTTTCTGATGCAAAAAACTTTGATTTTTTTCAGTTTAGTTAAAATTCATATGTTTTCCTTCAAATTTCAAGTTTACACATAAATAATTCAAGCTAAGATAGGATTTTTTTGCAATTATCTACTGTCCCAAAATGTCTTGCCAGATACGTTATATTGTCCTAAACAAAACACCCATAATACAAGCTTTTATTATCGTTGAATACAAGTTTAAAATATCTTTGTATATTTTGTATATTGACTAAAGGTATCTTATATCGCATATAAATCCATCGACATTAATTCCGTGAGCATATATTTAGTATCCTGCATGAAACTCGGTATTCGTGGTTTGTCCGTTAAAATTTCAACAGATACATGACCGGTATAAGTCTGATAAAACTGTACTCATTGTCATAGGAACTTTTGTATAGCTTACACGATAAAACTATAAAAGTACAACATTGTTGTACAATGTGTAAATAAAGCGAATAACGAGTGAATTTAATTTTGTTGACGTAAACAGTTTTGCCGACCAGCTACGTTATAAACAGATGCGTTGTAAATGGTTCTATAATCGTACATTCTAACAAAGATACTATAGATCTAGTTTTGTTTCGTGGTATTTTGATGGGAACAATGTAATTATACCTTTTTACAAACTGTACTTGCATTAGCTGACTTAGTTTTCGAGGGGAATATCTTCAAATTCAATGGCATTTGTATGTTATTGTAGATGTTCAAATAAATTTAACTACTATAAATCGATTTTAAAGGATTAATGAGTGAAACGCTATGAAAGAAAGCGTGGGATATGTGAGGATAAGGGATCACATCACGTGGAAAACATGTAACGCATATGTTCATTTTGGTCACGTTTCTGTTTTGGTGCGTTATTTTCCCGGATTTAAATCAACTTGGTTATGTGAACATTTGAGAAGGGTGCATATATTTGATTACAAGTGATCATTACATCGATTTAAAGTTTGTTTTAGTGTTAATGCTAAGTAGCACGAGAGTAACACTTGACCAATATAATGTGTAACGTATCTGTTGGAATGGTAACATATCTGTTTAAGTTTTGAAAGATTGAAAAAAGGGACATGTCTGCTAGCGGCCGAACTTTTTGCAGTATAAGTTAAAGCCACCTTGATGTTTAATTACGTCTGGATATTTTGTGTGTTTTCAATATAAAAGTTTGTTATAAAGGTACTTGTTTAAATTGTGTGAACAAATACGTTACAAGAACAAATTATATCCTTGTTTTAATGCAACATACCATAATGACTGTTTTCTTATCAAATATAGATCAAATTAATAGTAGTTAATAAAAATAAGTCCAAATAACATACCATTTCGATTGAAGGAACTTTAAAATTTGATTTGCAACTCTGGCTGGCATGGTAACATATACGTTACAATATGATACCTAACTTTAAAGAGATACAGGCAAGGTACATTTACCGGTAGTATCATTGTGGTGTTGCTGAAGAACGAATGTTTTGTACTGTAGATATGCATTAGTCGGTGAAAAAATATTTTTCTATTACTAAACCCATGAAAAGAGTTCAAAAGCTTGAAGTTCAAAGAATGAAATAAATATTGTTTTTGAATACATTAGTTTTGAATGATTTCCGTTCGAGACCAAATGCATATTTTCAAATACGAACAGAAAAACGTGTCAGCATTTGTTGCAGAAATGTCTGTTCTTATGACACAGTCTATCTTGGATTCGCGAATATGATAAATTTGATGGAGAAAAACCTTTTGTTTTGAAGGAGTACTGGATCACGTATCTGTTTTACTGAAAATGACCTGTTTCGAATGGACACTTCTGTTTTCAAAACTGGTGAATACATGTAGTAAACAGAACCCTTTCGGTTTATTATCTACACATGTTACTCTTTTGAGAAAAGATAACAAAATGTTCGCAATGCAAAGTTTATTTTTTACTTTTTCTGTATATGAAAGTGTGCATGATAAGTGAGAATACACGTGTAGTTCTTGTATCCAACACATAGAGTTAAATTACACAGTAATTATATAAAAGTGGGATGGTTGATCTGATAAGATATGTAGTGTGTGTGTGGATGGGGTGGGGTCTGTAAGGGAAGGTTGGGATTGATATATGTACGTGCTTAGTGTATCAAATCAAACACACTACACACGTCATGCCTACGGTGCTGTAATAAGTACTAGCATTTTAACTTCGCAGAGATATGGGAAAGTTTAAAGTGTTGGAACATCCGACAAAAATATCACCAGCAATAACTACAATTTAGTATACACAACTAACTATAATTTAGTATATACACAAATTCAATCCTGAGTGAGGGCAGAAGGACGTTTTGTCTGATATGATAGTATAGACATTGAATTAACGAGTATCATATTCCTTATATACCCGGAAATGATCTCAAGATACACGTGCATTAGTGTTAGGCCCCTGTACTTGAATGGGGAATATGATAGCTATGCATTTGTACGAACGTTTCATTTATAGTCTATAGTATAGATAATAATGTGATTGTCTGGGCTCTGTTTTTACAGGTACAATACACACATACCCAAATCCAGCCCCCGGTGTTATTACCAGTGTAAATGTGCAACACAATATAAAAGCTCCGAAGTGTTACATCAAACTTATACACGTAGGCCATGGTTAATATACCTGTGTTCATATAAAACTACATCGGCTTAGCTAATATCTTTGTTTTGATTATTCCATGTTCATGAAAAATACAGAATACAAAAAAAGTTTTACCCTGATTTGATTAACCGAAAGTTAAAACGAATCTTCGTACACGTTATCATATCAGAGTAGCACTCGCCACTTAATGGTATATAGGGCATAATACGAGGGTTTAGTGTTGTCATTACTACATACGTGTACGTATACAAACAGTACGAGCTCTCACCTGATGCGTTAACCACCGTCAGCGTCCACACTACTGACCAGCTGACCAGTAGGTACCGGCAAAATCCCATGTCTGGTCGGCTACAACGTCAAACACCTTGTCTGTACATTAGTTTGCCAACCAGGAAGTTCGTACAGGTCTAGGGTACGTTGCACAAGGACATGTATTCACGGTGTTTACACATTCTTAAGAATCGTTTGTTAAGACGCCGTAACCTTACGTTCTTGCACGTTTTCCAGGTTTTGACACATACTATGCAATACAATATTGTATCACATGTCTCTCTGAGATAATTCTATAGAAATACATTACACACTCTGAATTAGCAAGTTCACTGATCTGTGACGATTTGTAACAGCGTAAATATACACATTTTCTATAAGAGAGAAAATCGTTCACATGTGTGTATTAGTGAAAAGCTGAGTAGTTAAAACGACTTTTTTTCAAGCAAGAATAACAATATAATGGGTTGTAGTACATTTTATTTCTAAACCAGGACGGAAGTCTGGTAATGGCATTCAGGGTATTCTCTATTAAGTTAAAGTCCCTGTAACGATGTCCTCTTCTCTTGTCTCTTGGTCACATATAAATATTTATATTAAAAAAGAACTGAAAAGATCTACGCTGTCATAGTAACGCCTCATACATCTCTTTTTTAAGACTTACTAAGTCGTTATAAAGACATAATAGATCGATTTTGTTTGCTTTAGGGGGCTATTTCAAAAAAATGTTTGGAACATGCTTTTAATTCAAAATGTATGCCAGTACTACCCTATATTCCAAAGAAGTAAGCTAAATAAAGCGAAAAATTACCTTTTCTTTGCGGCTGGAAAGATATACCTGTTAGTAAGAAGTTCACAGACAGCTGCCGCTAAAACGTATGGTTGTACAAATGAAGTTTTAATATTGAGTTTGCAACTATATTATCTTAAAGAATTTTAAAATAAGATTATAGATTATAATCAAAAAAAATCTTTGCTAAATTGTCCTTTTAAATTGTTATGGGGCCAAGTGGTTAAGGCGTCTAACATTTTGTTACCACAAGCCCTCCAGCACTGGGTCGCGGGTTCGAGACGTGGGGCAGGCGCCAGGTACTGGCCGTAAGTCGGTGGTTATTCTCCGGAAATTCCGGCTTTTCTCCACCACCAACACCTGGCACGACCTGAAATAATCATATATATTAACTCTGTTAACAGGACGTAAAATACAAACAAACCAAACCTTTAAATTACATACATAATGTACAGCAGTTATCTCCCTTTGAACAATAGAAAAGGTTGACTAGTGTCCACGCTGCATACTGATTATGTACATTAATACATCTCATTATAAAACATTAGGATTCCATGTGCATGAAAATTCAAATCCACGGCGAAAATGTGCCCTTAATACCAGAAATGTTGAACATTTTCATCATTTAGCCTATGTTCAAAATATATAAATAAGAAAATACAGCAAAGCTGCTGGACACCAAACCTTTTTATGAAAATGACTTACTGACAGCCAAACAACAACGAGGAAACTGATCCTGCATACTTGAAAATATTTATTGTAATTATATAAATTGTTAAAGGCCATAATTTTGTCGTTCAGAATATTCCGTTCACGCTCAATATCCTTACATTTTGCACTATTGTCACTCAATAATTGTCCCACAGCACGCATATGTACAGTTTTAACCGCACGGTAAGGTTTGGTTTAATTTTGTTGAACGTCCTATTAACATTTAAGGACGTGCCTCTGCGTGTGTAGTGTATGCGTGCATGTGTGTTTGTATGCAGGAGACAGGTTGTGTTGGTGTGCTTGCCTCCTTGTGATCGCGCGGATCTGATGCAGTCTTTATAGTGCCATCTCACTGAAATACCATGCCGAAAGCACCAAGCACAGCATTCCGCCCGGTCACATTATACTCACAACGGGTGAACCAGTTGTTGCCATTTCCCTAAATGCTGCACGTTAAGCAGGGAATAACAACTACCATTTTAAAGACTTTGGTGTGTCCCGGCCTTGGGACAGAACCCATTGCCTTCCTCACCTTGGCGAACGCTCAGCATTTAGGCCAAAACTGAGGTGTTGCCAAGCAAGGCGCTAGGAAATAAAAGGTTGTTAGAAGTAGAAAGAAAGATAAATATCCCAAATATTGCAATAGGTGCAGCAGATTTATTTTGGTCGCGATATTTGCGAATATTTCTTTCGACTATTGTGGATGAAATATCAACCGTCTTTAAGGTTTAAGCGTCAATCGTAGCCCTTCTATCATTTAAGTATTGAACTAAGCGTGCTAAACTGAATAATTCATATATACATTTGATGCCATATCAATAAAATTCAATACCTATATTTTAATAGAACATACATCTTCCTCAAAGTGGTACAATTATGACGTCAGCACATGGATCATGACATTAACGGTCTATATAAATGTCTATATAAATGTCATCCGATCTTTGTAGGCTTACTCAGTGGCGATGCCAAAGACCGGTAAAATGAATACCTTGTTGTCAGTATAACAACATCAATCTACAATTCCAAAGTACATGTGCATTTATGTCAAATTAAACACACCTCTCTAAATATTCCCAGAATGATAACTTTGATACATCAATCTTATATTCCTTGGTATAAGTTTATATTTGTGTCAGATTATCATCTTCAGAATACATTCATTGATGTCAGTATTACAACATCAATTTTATATTCCAAAGTATAGAATTTATTGATGTAAGATTATCTACAAAATTGAAACATCCTCCAGAATCTTCCCTAGTATATGTGTATTCATTTAAGCAATAAACTGCATAGATGTGGCAGACCAGTTGGTCTGCCACATCTATGCAGTTTATTGCTTATATTTATGTTTTCGTTATGAAAATTCGCAAAAAATAACTGATGTCTTTTTCAACTTTCAAATTTCCCGCTTATTACCGTCAGGTCAGGTCAGTATCTAGAACGGCAAAAAGATAACAGCTGACGTCATGCGCTATTTCCCATACAAAATTGAAAAGACTCCGCAATTTTCGTTAATAATTCATTTGATTTTGATTTATATATATATCATATTCTCGATTCATAAATAGTAACAAATGACATTTTGTAAGTAACTAATCAAGTGTCGTAAAACATTTTCCGATTTTATTGCGACCTATATCCGGCGCACGAACTCAACGGAAGCCCGCAGTAATCAGGTCAGAGTTATATTTACAGTCCGGCATGTTGTTGATGTTGATCGTGCAACCGGAGAAGGTTGATTGGTGAAAAATCCAGGCGTAAAATTGTTTGTTGATCTCACAGACACTTGAGACAGTCAGCTGGTGTTCGGGTTCAAAGCAGAAGATACCGATAAGTTCGGTAGTGACACTGTTAAGTCGCTCGGAGGTGCAAAGACCAACTTCAGTTATAGTCTCATAAGATGAAGCTGCTATTGGCAGTACTTTAGTAGTAATATATAAGGGCTTTGCCACACCAAATGTAAATATGTAAAATTAACCACACCTCTCTAATTATCTACAGAATGATTACCTTGATGTCATTACCTTAAGACACCAGTCTTATATTCAAAAGTATAAGTTCACCAATGTCAAATTAACCATATCCCAATAACTTCCTACGGAATGAATGACTTGATATCAGTACCTTATGAAATCAAATTAAAACTACATAGAATAAGTTTATTGATATCAGATATCTACAGAACTGTGACATCCTGCAGAATACATTCATTGATATCAGATATCTACAAAACTGTGACATCCTTCATAATACATCCATTGATATCAGATATCTTAAAAACTGTGACATCCTTCAGAATACATTTGTTGACATCAGATATCTACAAAACTGTGACATCCTTCAGAATACATTCATTGATGTCAGAAACCTACAAAACTGTGACATCCTTCAGAATACATTCATTAATATCAGATATCTACAGAACTGTAACATCCTTCAAAATACATTAATTGATATCAGATATCTACAAAACTGTGACATCCTTCAGAATACATTAATTGATATCAGATATCTTCAAAACTGTGACATCCTTCAAAATACATTCACTGATACCAGATATCTACAAAACTGTGACATCTTTCAAAATACATTACTTGATAACAGATATCTACAAAACTGTGACATCTTTCAAAATACATTAATTGATATCAGATATCTACAAAACTGTGACATCCTTCAGAGTACATTCATTGATATCAAATATCTATAAAACTGTGACATCCTTCAAAATACAATCAATGATGTTAGATATCTACAAAACTGTGACATCCTTCAGAATAAATTATTGATGTCAGATATCTACAAAACTGTAATATCCTCCAGATTATTTTTTTCTCTGTTGAAGTTATTACTTCTCGAGTCTGCCTTCCAAGACATATTTTGTCACAACGCTGTCTTTTTTGTTGTTATCACATTTTCATTTTATACATACAGTTGTGGGATCGCACAACGTTACACGATGTGCGGTGTGCGGACGATGGGTGAATGTTGTGCGATAGCAATCGTGGTTGGTGTAAATTGAGGAATGCCTCAACAATATAAACGGTTTCGTGCATGTCTTTAAACACATAAACTTGATTATTTAGTATGTGTTTATAATTATTCTAGCTACATCTATAAGCTATCTTTCTCTCTATACTTTCTTAAATTTAGAAACGGTGTTTTCGGTGTTTTTTAAACAATCTAAATCGACACATGTAACATTACAACAAAGTCTCGGCAATACAGGTAAACATAGCCACTTTTTACCTGTACCTAGACCGTAGTTATCCCCCGCTCGGGGCACTTACGTAACTCGCCAAGGTGTGAAAACCAAGGTAAAGGGGAGCTATAGACCAAAACGAATGCAAATAATAAATACTTAACACCCAGTTGTGTTTTAATAACGGTCATACGGTATCACATATTAGCTCTGTGTGTCAGGGACAGCCCAGGTAAAACTCAGGTCACTCATCAAATTGTTATTTACCTGTTCTGTTACCTAGAAACTAAACCCATTCTTGACAGTCTAACGGTCACTGTAACATTGTGTAACACGCATTGTAAAATTGTACATAATCTTAATTATTGTGATGAGAAATTACAGTAATATATACAGTGTACATTATTGCATACTTCCGTATTTTTTTCATTCCGTAATATTGATCAACAAATTGTACCAAATCGCACAACGGAGCGAACGATTGTTAAATCGCACAGTTGTGCGCACCATGTGTGGACGATGTGAGGACGGTGTGTGAACGATGTATGCACGGTGTGCGCACGGTATTTTTGGTGCGTTGTGCGGTCACACAACTGTA